AATGTTGTATTTGCTTAATTTCAGTATAAGTAATAGATACTTATTGTTAGTATTTGGTCAATAGATAAATAATTTGTTAAATTAGCTGCTAAAATTATTGTAAGCCCAATTCGGCCATTTTTTTTTTTGATTTTGTGATGACTTTGAATTGATAATTTTATAATATCGAGAATAACTATTACCGAGATTTTTTTTTATGCCAGTGGACTGGCATGTATCAGAATGGCCGATTGTTAAAAATATTAATTATGTTACTATTGTTTAAAAAAAATAAAATCGAGAGGAGCAACACTATGCCCGCCATTACTTTGCTTCTTCTTTTGTGACATTGGTTGTTTGGTTTATTATTATTCTGACACTGTCTGGAAACTAATATAATTGTGATTGCTGAAGTAGTAAATGAAAAATAAAAATCACACTTTGGAAACATCTTCTGGAAGTTTTTATTAATTAAAACAGTAGAAAGTACGAAACAAAAACTTATGACAATAAAGTTATTTCTCTTTCTAGCGTTTTGATAACAGGTTCACGACATTTTTAAGTCAATAGGCAAAGTTTTAAAATATTTTTATTAAAATAATGTTTTGCTTTACTTGAAGTAAAACGTTTTTTTTTACATAAATACGCAACTAAGAGTGGGCCCCTTAATTATTTGCTTATAATATATAGCCACATTCACAGTAAACTTACCTTCGTATTGAAAATTCCGCTTCAGTTCTCCACTAATAACTTAAAATTTCACCACTAACTCCACCATATTTATTTTCGTAAAGACGATTACTGTGTAATAACATTTCATATTAAGTCAAAACGTAATGTTAAGCAGGCTAAGAAAAAAAGTAAAAACTATGTCTTTAAACGTTATAATTTCTTATTGTAGATCTGTACTGCGACTGCAAGAGCTACAATTTACCTTATTGCCACCCTATAACTGCTTAAAGAGATAAAGAGTTAGCATCTTAGATCTACTATAACCCTTACGGAGTTAATATTCATACATTTGCTTCCTTTGTAGAACTCAAAGGTCTAAAGGTGGCCTGTAGCTCTATTATACCGCTTGAAGAGTCACTAGACACTTAAATACTTCTTTTATAACGCTTTAGGCTCAGTTAGCGCTTATGTACCTCCACAATAACTATACTATATCTCTTAAACGCATTCTGTAACTCTACTATATCGCCACAGTGGAGCCCAAGGCCATAAGAATTTGTGCCCAATCCAGGGGTACAGTAGAGTTATAGCTCCCTATAACTCCATGTGATAACACTTTAGAACACCACAGGATCTGTTTAGCTCTTTTGTAGATCTGTTCTAACTCTTATGTTAGCGCCTAATGTTACTTGGGTTTTATAGAACCAACTTCACCAGCATTGAGGCGGCTCTCAAAGGACATGGAGTAAAGCCGCAAGTTATAGACTGGATCGTGAATATGCTACGCAACAGGATAGTTCGGGTGGCAGGTGAGAACAGTACAGGGGCACTGGTGGCACGGGGATGCCCCCGGGGGAGTACTCTCGCCGCTACTGTGGAACCTGGTGGACAACGACCTGATCACACTCCTGAATGCAAACCATTTCTACACCATAGGGTATGCCGATGATATCACAATATTAACTCTAGGCACCCACGCTGGTATAACCTGCAACACCATGCAAGCAGCCCTGAAGACAGTCGACCGCTGGTGTGAAAAGTACGACCTGACCGTGAATCCTGCAAAAACGGAACTGGTAATGTTTACAACCAAACACAATGTAGGCACGTTTCACCTACCGAAACTGAGACGCCCGTTGAAGGAAGAAGAAGAAGAAGTAGTGGAGGATGCAATGTGTTTATTGTTTGCAGATGATTTGAAGTTGTCACTAGCTATTAGGAATGAAACCGATTCTAAAAGACCACAAAAGTACATAGACAGAGTAGTTAAGTGGAGCAAGGATAACGCATTAATGTTTAAAACGTCGAGATGTGTCACCATTATCTTCTGTCGTTCAAACTGTTCTATCCAGTATAGGTACTGTGTGGAAAACACCGATGGTTAGAGTTACAGAGGTCAGGGACAATCACGACAGATCTATCATTTCGTGATCCCATCACAACTATTTGTAAAAAAAGCCTTTCAAGTTCTAGGATTCACCTTACGTACGTTTCGTAATTTTACTAATAAGTATTAAACCTATTGTTGCTCTTAACAATACGTTAGTTAAGAGTAAGATAGAATATATGTAATTCAGTCTATGGTCTATGCTCGAAAAGATCCATAATAAATTTATTAGATTTTTGTATACGAGACGATACGGAGTGTGTCCATTCTATCCACTTATGTATTCAACCTTGTTTATATTGGGAATAATTGGGTACAACGAACTTAGCGTCATGAGGAAGCATGCACTGGTTTTCGATATCTTCAAAATTGTTATAGGAAATATTCATAACCCTCTTACTTATACAGTTATGTTACCGGACAGATACGTGAGGCGTCGCCACAAAGCACAGTTGTTGTTTGTGCAGCGCGCGCGCACCAACGCGATGCTGCAGGCGCCTTTGACGCGGGCATAGCGCACTCTTAACCTTGTTGCTGATCTTATACATATATTCATTTGTTCACTGAACGAGTTCACAAAGACTGGTTTATAAATTACTTGTTAAATACGTCAGCGAATTTAATTTAATTTATATAGATTTCATGTAATTTCTTAGTGACTTGATTATTATATATAAGACAATTATTTATATTTTGTTTATGATGTATGAATAATTATTGATTATTTTTATAATGATGTGATGACATTTTAATGTTAATTTGTGTTTTATGTGTAATGTTGTTAATTACTTGATTGAATAATTTTGTTTTCACTATCGCACCTGTAATAATAGTTATAAGTTTCGAAAATGAATAAAACAAAATCTTGGCTGATGTGAAGTTTTCCGAGCAGCTAAAAATATTTATTATGACAACAAAATCGATCCAAATAACTATGGATCTAACCTCATCATCATCATCATCATCAGCCCATATTCGTCCACTGCTGGACATAGGCCTCCCCAATTGCACGCCATCTACTTCGATTTTCGGCTGTTCGCATCCAGCTCCTGCCAGCCATCTTGCGCAAATCATCGCTCCACCGCGCCTGAGGACGTCCTACACTACGTTTGCCGAGACGCGGTCTCCACTCAAGAACTCGTTTACCCCAACGGTTATCGGTTCTGCGGCTAATATGGCCAGCCCACTGCCACTTCAGCTTGCTAATCCGGTGGGCTATGTCGATAACCTTGGTTCTCTGCCGGATCACCTCATTTTTGATTCGATCCCGCAGAGAAACGCCGAGCATCTAACCTCTATGGATCTAACCTCGGTGCCAAGTTTTTCCAAAATCTTCCGTAAGGTTATCGTAAGAGATTTTTTAAGGGTTGCTCGACTTCACTAGCATGCTTTTAGTTTATAAGCCACATAAATGAAAGAATAAAAACCTCATGTTATGTCATTGTACTTGGATAATGAGACGTTTGATTTCGCAAGCCACTCTAAACTTTTATACGAGCTAGTATTTGTGGTATTAGAGGCAATGCTCATTAGCTACCGATACCGATATTAGCAAAATTTCAAATCCCCTTCTTCCTTACTACTACTTTCTGATCACTTTGAACAAATAGACAATATTTTGTATCAATTCACACTTGTGGTTAGGAGAGACATCATAGTTGTGCCGAAAGCTATCAGTAATAATTAATAACTAAATTATTATAAGTAACTTAAAAAAATACTCAAAACACACGGTCGTGGAACGCGATGACTCAGCACAGTTGTTGCGAAAGTTAGTAGCAGCCGAGGTGTTCCAGCGCCTGACATTCACACTGGGCGCTGAGTGATGTTCCCAGTGTGGATGTCAGATATTCCCTTAGTACTTCAACATACTGAAATATGAAGCTTTGGAAAACTCTTGCACATTTTAGTCACAATCTCTTAGAGAACCTGTAGTGAGTTCTATGAAATGTATTTTTGTCAATGCTTTAAAATAAGATTTACGGTTTCTTCTTGATTGTATAATTTTAAATTATATTATCACGTATGTAACAAAGAAGAGGTCGACGACGTATTAGTTCAGTCTGCGATGAGACTGTTATGTGGCTTTCGCGAGTGCAGGACACACCTACATAAAGGGAGACACGTTAAGCCGAATGTCCCGGCCCCGCCTGTGGTCGTTAACTAACACCGGCCCGCGTGATGGATTTTTTCACTCACTCAATTCGATTTCATTCCATCTATACAGAAGAGACGTGCCTCAGCAGATGACGATGAACTCATTGATTAGTTCGTGTTATGATTCCATAGTAACAATATATAATGGTAAAAAAACACGACTGACAAAGTCGAAATAAATTAAAAGAAACAAGTTGTATTATAGCTTGGCTTAACAGAGTTCTCCATTCATGAACAGAGGGTCCATTAGATTACAATGTTCCACAAAAAGGTTAGTTTTATTTATTACAATAAAAACTATACAAACAACTCGAGCCGTAGATGATAAATTTTCTCATGCAAGTCTATCCGTCCAATAAAAAATCTACGCTAAAATTTAACTTAAAATAAAATAAAGGCGTTCTAAAATATATTAAAAGTTCAAATAAAAACAACATAAGAAATGGCTATCGAAGATATATCCTATGTAAGTCCACCAAATTATCAACGCGTCGGTCGGTCTTTGATTACTTCAATATTGTTTCTAGAAAATCTTTTGTGTACTTTAAGGTGTGAAACGTTCAGTGAGTAGGCCCCCCACCAGGAGGCCTGTGCTCAGCGGTTAAAAGTGGTTATTTTTATAAGAAACATTCGAGTCGGGCGGTTAATATTTGATTAAGTATAGAAAATCTCTGCCCGACTTCAATATTTCTTACAAAATTTAATCGCTTTGAAGATAGTATTATTTTTCACTTTTTCAATTTGAAGTTGGTTGGGTGGTTGGTTGGTATTAATTATTTGTGGAAAATAAGGAAAACAGTATTTTACATGAAAACAAATTTTATTCGTTGACTCGAACGGCAAACTTAATTGGTCCACCTATTTATTGCTTCTAACTAGAAACGTGCTTTTGCACAGTGCGTCGTGAGGGGGCGGGCGGGGCGCGGCGCCCCCCCGGGCTTGCGGCGGTCGTACGGGGACCGGCCGGTGACCTAGTGGTTACCGGACGGCGGCCGGACGGCCACCGCGGGCCGGTGGACCAGCCAAGTTGCCGCGGCGGCATACCGCGCGCGCACCTACTTACACTTACGCTAACTATGTACAAAATTAGTACCCGTTTAACCAACGTATATCATCGAGACTATATACAAATAGAAATTAGGCGCGGGAGGGCCCGCGGTCGCGAATCGAACGGCATCGAAAGAACGTCCCTGTCGTCAGTCGCGGAACGAGGCGGCGCGACGGCCCGCGGGTCGTCAGCGCGTCCGGGGTCACTGGCCTGTGGGGGCGGGCGCGGGCGCGGGGGCGGGCGAGGACGCGGGAACGGGCGCGGGCGCGGACTCGGATGCGGGCGCCACTGCGGGCGGCGAGCTCGCGTCGCTGGATATGCGAGCGAGTGTCTTGTAGAGAGGCGAGTTGACGAACCGCGGGTACGAATCGCGATGCATCAGCGTGTAGATCTGCAGCTGCGCTTCGTCGAACGTGTGCGGCGTAGGCTCGACCATGTTGCGGTTTACGATCTCGCGCACGCGCGAATCTAACGACACCTGAGTACATAAAACACCATATAAATTATAAAAATGAAAAATTACCATCCAGTCTACCAATAAACGCTATTTATTGCACTCAGTGTTGCTTTTTCTATAAATATATATGTTGATATCAAAAGAAAAATAGTGATATAATTATTTTTAATTCAGTTACTATTAGTAAACTATTGCAGTTATCTTTGTGTACTAAAACACTTCGTTTTGTGTGACGCAAAATGCAATTTGATAACTGAATGCCAATTCTGCTAATGTTATTCTAAAACATTAGCAAATTCTAAAAAGCAACTAGTTGAGATTCTATTGAAATGTGATTATTTAGAAAAAATAAATTAAGAATACATACATAAAACACGATATACCCTTAATATCTTACCCATCTCTAAAAACGCCCAGCTACCTAATTGCATATGCTATAACGGAGTATAGTTTCTGTGCCGCGGAAATATATCGCGAGGTAAAGCTTACTTCTTTAGGTGAGAGTATTGAGATGTAGTCCTCGTAGATGAACCGCGCCTTCTCCTCGACAGCGTCAGGGTCGGTCTCTCGCTTCAGCTCCTCACACGCCAGCCAGAACATGATGTTTTCCTCGGAGTACTCGCCCCGCAAGAAGTCGCGGAACACCTTGCGTCCCGCTAGTATGCAACAGATCACATGAAGTCATTCGTGCATTTAAAATTATTTGAAAGAATGTGATAGATGATGATGACGGTGATTATGGTCCTGTTTGTGATGCCAACTTTATAGTTTTAGTACTTATGGAATCTATGGATGACCTTGGTCTGGAGAGCACCCAGTCCCAAAGTCCAAACACAATGCAGTTGCGTCATATCATCACTAAATTCCTATGACCACCGTCCAACTTCGTCACCATATGAGCTCACTGACACCCCAATATTGCATTGTCATCTGACTTACAGTACATATATGCAAAATTTCAATTCTATCGGACATTGGGTGTGTCCGAAGCGAGTCTTATTTGAATTCCAAGATTTGCGCACTAACTTTAAGTTAACTATAAGCTAAAGAGGCTTTTTTTAGACTTCAACTTATAATATGAATGATACTTTTTAAAAATATTTTTTTCAGATGTATGTCTAAAAAACAAAAATAATAAAAAAAAGTAGTCTATGCCTCAAAACTTGTGACATTGGAGTATTTGTAACGAGTTTGGCTAATCCTGCATTAGAACCAGCAAAACATATTTGTCAATGATTGTACTCTATACAAATATGAACAACAATTAGGCTATGATGAGACTGGCAAGTACCTGCGCTACGCATAAGTCGATCGAAGGACTGTCCCCAGCTCTGGATCTCCTCCAAGGTGGGCCTGTGACATTAATCACATACAAAAATTATATTCCGCTCTTTAATTATTATAACAAACTTTCCGCGAGCGGCTCCGCCCGCGTGCTGTATTATACATATAAAATTTCTCATGAATCACACTGTATATTGATGAAAATATGAAATGAAAACCGCATTGAAATCAGTTGTGTAATTAAAAAAGATTTCAGCGTACAGACAGCAGGGAAAAACATCATTTTATTGTATGGTATGTATATTGACAATTTCGAAATGTTTATTGGTCACACCGATTTACATATGTTTTGTATATAATAGGAATCGGAATGTCGCAGAGCTCGTTCGGCCTGTGACCGTAGAGGTTAAGCGACTTTGGCAAGGGCCAGCCAGATGGATAGGTGACCGAAGTTTTAATCTTCATGCTTCGGAAGTTGACTCCGATTGTACCTACAAACGCCCCCCATTAAAGACATTAATAGAACGATGATAATTATGAATGCCAATATTTTTTTTAAATCTAAAATATAGTTGCCAACCGTCCTGTTCTCCCAGGTTTTTATAATGTCCTGAGATGTTCTGGAAAGTCGAATTAGGAACGAAATTTTTGATAAAACAGTGAAACAATTTCATTCTTTATTTTAAACTTAAATTTAAGGCATTTCAATTTGAATTTCTTTTTATATAAGGTTTTGTTATTATATTATTTGTTTGATTAGTAAACATTTGACGTGGGGTTCCAAATAATAACGAGGCAATTAGTGGGTGTTCCGCTTGCTCGAGTGCACCCCTGGATGTAGTGTAATGTATGTACTAACGGCGCGTCTCCGTCGGCGAGCAGGGGGTCCTGGGGGCCGGGCTCGCGCGGTTTCTTGCCCAGTCCGCCCTCCGAGCCGCGCGCCACCAGGCTGGAACACAACGCAACATAACCACTTACATACTATGATATTATGATGAACTTTTTAGGGCCTTATTATATTTGAGTGTATTTTTTTCTCAACTGGTCACTTTTGGCGTTCTTGATCTCAGAATTAAAAATATATTATATTACTAATTTTGACTCATAGTCAAGTACACTGAAGGTAAAAATAGTACCTTACCTCCGATTTCTGTAAAACTGCATGGAGTTGTCTGAAAATTTGGAATTAAGCTCGTCTTACCCTCCACTTCAAACAATACTTAGTCGCAAGTTGCGCTTTTGATTTCTTAAAGGTGAAAACTATCCCAAACATTAAACAATATCACAACGCTAAAGTTCCCGTATTGTGGAGTATCTGAAATAACGAAGGTATCACAACACCCAGACCCGAGACAATATAAGAAAGTTTATTTTCTAAATTGACCCAATCGGGAATCGAGCCCCGGTCCTCAAAGATGGCGATACCTTGAAACCGACGTGCGAACCACTCAGCTATGGAGGTCGTCAAAATTAATATATTAAACGTGAAAAGGCTTTAATCATGTTCAAATAATGTTAAATATGTATTATTCATATGATGGATCTAGTATTTTGATATTCCACTATATTCATTTCCCTTAGAAACTACCCTACATAAGACGCATTGAATTATACCCCCTATTATTAAAAAAAAATGAAATCTTTGATTTCTTGTCTTAAATAGAAAAAATATATATTTTCAAAGTACATACAATCTGATAAATAGTTTTTTATTGACCAATTTAAAAGTTTAAAAATAAAAAAAAACATACATTTTTTTTAATACTCGTAATTATGGAACTGTCAATATTCATTTGAAGTTTTATATTATGGAGATACTGTTAGCAGGTATTTATCAACGGAAGTTCTTTTTTTCTTCGGAAAATAAATTTCTATATATCTATCTATATTATATTTAGTTGTGTATGTAGATATGTATATACGTACGAGTTCATTGATTGTGACGAGAAACATAGAGTATATACGAATGAATAAATGTATCCAACATTTGGGCGCTCCATAATTTTGCAACGTTATTAACTCCAAACAATTATTTGGAATTTTAACGATAACTCGGTTCCTTTTCAAGTTATTTCATTCATTCAAATATAGTTTTGTAGGTAATTTAATAAGCTATAATGTCATGTGAAACATAAAGTGTTTAGACTCTAACGTTCAAAGAGTTTAAGGGTTGAAGGGCTAAAAAGGGCACTCCTTGCATGCAAATAAAATATATGTATATATGAACATATATCATTCAATTTTAAAGCTATATAAATTAAAAAAATAAAGAACATTTTTTATACAAACAGCTTGTTTTTAAAACCTTTAAAAGGAAATTTCTTTAAAACAGTTTTTTTCAAAATGTAAGACATCCAAACCATTGAAGATTGAGTTGTTTGAGCTGGCATATAAATGAAGTTAATTAACTTTCCAACGACTCAGGTTATTTTTATTATAAATCCGTCAATTTTTATGTTTGCAACTATAATTTTAGCTCTTTTTAAGATCTAATAAAGCTTATTAAAGGAGGCAATTTAATTTTATTCGGAAAAATCTTTACTTTTTTTTGCTATTTGATGTTGAAGTTATTAGAAAAATTCAACGAGTCACATGTCGCTTAATATGAGCCGTAACATTAAACAAAACCAACTATTTTCTTTGTTTTTTATAACTCCTGGCCTAAACAAATGAAATAATATAAATAGAATGTTATGTCTTATATAGTACGAGTAGTAGAGTTTGTAGCGGCCCCGAAGTTCTCGATATTATCAATTAAACCAAATTTATACTAGAATAATTAGTTGTTACTTCTTATGGAATAAAGAAATAAGTCGAAACCAAAACCCACTGTGTTCCCTGAAGAGAAGTTCTTTTCAAATGATTCGCTAGCACTCACCACTTAGCCCTGAAACAATATGTAAAATATACGTTTTCAAAAGTTACTCAACAAAACATGTAGTAAAAAAAATTTTACCCCTACCACTTGTTCAGGACGTCTTTTAGCTGACAAGAAGAACAAGCGAACGAAACTTACCAGCTTTTTATCATAAGTAATGACATTTACATAAATCATGTCATTACCAAAATAATATGTAATATCACAATAATAAATACAACTTTCAAAGTTGACCAATAATTAGTCTTTATAAAACAAAGCAGAATTCCATGCATTACGATCCTTAAAATAATCATCAACTTTATAATAGCCTTTACTCATAAGTATATTCTTTACATGAATTTGAAATTTATTTATGGGTAGGTCAATTACATTTTGTGGAACTTTATTGAACATAGCAATACATTTACCCAGAAATGATCCTCTGGTTTTTTGAAGTCTGAAGCTTGGAACGGCAAGTTTATTTTTATTTCTTGTGTTAAGATTATGAACACTACTTTTTTTTGTGAAGGAATCGTAATGTTTTCTTGTGTACATAATATTCTCATAGATGTATTGAGAGGCAACAGTCAGAATATTTATTTCTTTAAATATTTCTCTAAGAGATTCCCTAGACCGTAAATTATATATAGCACGGACAGCTCTCTTTTGTAGAATAAAAATATCCTGAATGCTAGCCGCAGAACCCTACAGCAGCTTATAACAAGATGACTCACCAAGAACATGAGCAGCAGCAGCACCAGCAGAGGCAGCAGGGCTTGGCAGCGGGCGCGGGCGCGGGCCGGCAGCCTCGCGCCAGCGCCGTCAGGCTGCACATCTGCAACACGCACACAAAACCTCACCGATATCTTCTCTATTATAATATCGATAAACCTCTCTGAAAATAATCCTAGCTGGATACCATACTCCATTACGGAGAAGCGGGTGTAATGTAATGGATACTACACATAGAGCAGGCCTGCCGGGCGAGCCGCTGTGTGCCGGCCGAAGGACAGCATGAATGTCCACACAGGCCGACGTCTCTGTGTGTACTAACCATAAGAATTTCAACGAGTAGGCCTCCGGACTCTACATTCAAATTGCAATCTCAACGAAAAATTACATCTAAAGAGAGATAATGCAATGAAAAATCAATGTTATAATGACATATTTGTAATGTAACTGTGTTGATGACAAATTCTCGTGGATAATGTTTACCTTGCTAATCAAACTTATGGTATACCCACCTATTATCTTCTTGCCGATTCCCTTACGGGGTAGGCGGAAGAGGCCGAAGGATTAAAGTATCAAAATACAAAAAGGAGAAAAAAAAAATCAAAAAATATAAGTCGAAAAGTTAAATATATAGCTACCTATATCATCGAACATACCGAGTGTCCCCTTTGCGGCGTCTATACCAGAAGCTCGTAATAATACGCGCGGGGATTATTACGAGCTTCTGGATTAGATCTCAATCTCTTGAGGTTGGAAAACGGTAAAGCAAATGCAACAGTTTTGAACTGTACCTTCACGATCCATCATAACTTTTGAATATTAACATAAGTATATATAACTGTATAATTCCGTAAATCTAAATACTTTTTTCTGAAGTAAATATGGACTATGAAAGGTTTTCAAATTTTAACTTTAAATACTTAATCGATATTTGAAGCTTACAACAATGTGATCTAACCCACTAGCCCATACAACCTACTAATAAATTGAAGTCGTTCAATGAAGTGGTTATTATTTTGTACATTCGTTGTTTCCACAGGTGTATTATTATATACTGTATCCAAATCGTAAAATACATTATACTTACATCTATTATTATTATTATTTTTAATAAAATAAAGTTACGTTATACATTAGCTATTGTCCTTAAGATCAATCGAGAGAAATTTAATCAATCAGATAAACATATTTACCATTTCCATATTCTAGTTGATATTTCCATTTTTTTTTGTCAATTTTCGTCAGGAACTGATTAAGGTTTTCACAATATCTCTATATTAAAGTTGAAAGAACTAATGTAGGCTCCTTTCTAATGAGTATCTATATGAATAGAGATCTATATAAGTACATCATCAATCACGGTTGAAACGAAATGGATATTAATATTTCTCTTTGAATTAATTATTATAAATTATTGTAGATTTATTGAGGGCTCCTGCTTGATTCTACTCATTCTCTAAAAATATTATACACGAGTTACACTGATTCGAAGAAATTCATATCACAAACAGATAATCTGTTAGTAGCAATTCGTTGCCTTCCCCGCGCTGTACCCACTAACGCACTCGAATTTATAGCCATCACATCACGTGATTCAAATAAATCTGAGAAATTACGATTAAAAAGATATCTCGTAATATTGCGGTTCATACCACACTAACACTACTATAACTAACAAGCTATTCTAGATACTCATGTTGATAAAAAAAAAACAATGATGCGGTGTCAACTCACCATTCCATCTCCAGTAATGATTGTGTCTTCCTTAATTTAGTATTTATATGACTCTTTAAAAAATGTAAAGTTCTACTATGAATACCAAAAAATATTTCTACGTCTATACCTACAGAGAAAGAAATAGTTTGGACTGTGCGGTATAAAACAAAGGGGAACGTCAAGAATCGTTTCTAAACTGTATAAGGGGAAGGGTCTCCAGTAAACGTGTGTCATGGGCAGCTAATACTTTGCTAACATGAGACGGTTCTCACAGATTAGGACTGGGCACCATCTGATGAAAATGTAAAGAGTATGTATCTATGTATAACAGATGTAATAAAATGTGGATAGAGCACTGCGTCATCGAACACTAACGTAGGTAATCATCATACACGCACTGTACACCGACTAATTAAGGTCAACGTCATTTACACCCGATTTCAGATTCATGAAACGGAAACGACCTCGCAGCCGTACTTCACTATGAACCCAAAAGAATGTAAAGAATTCAGGAATATTTTGTGACACGATAATATTGTATTTATTTCTGCATTCGGAGGGTAGTAGGTGAGGGTCATCGGGTGCGGGGCGGGGCGCGGGGCTGCGGCGTGCGCTGAAACGGGCCAATGTGCGTATTTATAGGCGCGCGCTCTCATTGAGGCGGCAGCGGCATGTTTACTGTGTGCGCGCACCGCGCGCTTGTAAACATAACGTCGCACGCGCACGGTCCGCGCGGCCACACCGCCACACCGCCTAGCGATCGATTCGGGAGGAGGAACCGTCACCGTGTTCATGCAGAGGCACCAGATCCCGGAGTCGTCTCGAACTCTAGAGCTCGCGACCGTCGTCGTCGTATTGCGGGCTGGCGATCGATCGCGGGCACTGGGCGCGCGGGTTCCTCGCTCGATACACGTGTGGAGGCATGCGCGGCGGCTCACCTGCCGACGGGCGGACGGCAGCGGGCGGCTCGCCGGCCACGCCGGCGCTAGCGGCGGCGCGGGCGCGGCATGCGGCGAGCGCGCGGCCGGCGGCTGCGTCGGGCGGCGGCGGCGGCGGCGAGGGCTGCACGGGGACAGGCCGCGGTCGGGGCGCGACTGAGCATCGACCGCGCCGCGCCCGCCCCCGCGCCTGCACCCGCCGCCGTCCCGCCGCCGCATGCGCGCGCCGCCCGCCGTCCTACGCGCCTCGTCGGTTCCGCGAATGCGGTCACCATTACGCATCCGCGTCTATCGTCTCAATATTGCTAGCTCGCTAAAATACCCCTACGATGAGGTAATCTTGCGTGAAGATATTTTACTCTATAAAAATATATTGAGACATGTTAGATCATTAACAATACAAAGATATTTTTAATTTTTCGTGGTAAATAACTATTACCGTGAAATTAGGCGACTATATCAAAAAGTGGGGTGTCTACGAGTATCCCGATTTTACCTTATTTGTATATAGTGCGTCATACTCACGCAGATGTCTGTGTTGTGTATGTTGAATTATCTTTCCTATAATGTCAACTTTCAGTAATAGAATGCAAGTATAGAGCTATACGCTCTTAGTTTAGGGGATGTAATAATCTGCAGTGTTATTTTTGGTTTTATCAAATAAAACCTACTTCGAAAGGTGACGAAAGATTTTTTCGATTGGACGTCTAATGTTGGTACAATGCTGCGTTCGACGCAGTATCGTTAAAGAATATATACCAAAGCTGAAGTCTTCTGCTAAAGCACTGTTGCTACTAAAGGATATGTGTTATCGTGTTAGTGAATATGAAAAAGGGAACAACGAATCTAGTTATATATTTATTCAGATAAAAACAGTAGGTACTACAAGTAGTAATATTACCATTGCTTACGAATATTGTGTTTTTCATGAAACGTTGATTAGGAAACTGCATTTTTATGGATTTAGAGATAACTCATTGGATTTTATTGTCTCATACTTGACTGACAGAGTACAGAGGGTTGATATCAATGGCAAAAGATCCCCTGGATCGAAAATTAAGATGGGTGTTCCGCAGGGTTCAATACTTGGTCCTTTCTTGTTTTTGATTTACATAAATGACTTGCCTTATTTCGTAAGGGATGATCACGAAATAGTTTTGTTTGCGGATGACACTTCACTTTTGTTTAAAATTAAAAGAGGGTTACCTCTAAATGACAATGTGAACAATTCTATCGCTAAAGTAGTACATTGGTTTAATGTAAATAATCATCTCCTTAATGAAGGAAAAACAAAATGCTTAAAATTTGTACTACCTAATGTTAAAAAAGTAGATATAAATGTTAATATAAAAGATAAGAACATGGGCCTTGTGGATACCACAGTATTTTTAGGAATAACATTAGATTCTAAACTACAGTGGGGCCCACATATTGATAGATTGTCGAGTAGACTGAGCTCTGCAGCATATGTCGTTATGAAAATACGTAGGTTAACTGACATAGATACTGCCAGATTAGTATACTTCAGTTACTTTCATAGTGTAATGTCGTACGGTATCCTATTGTGGGGAAATGCTGCCGACATACAAACAATTTTTGTGCTTCAGAAAAGAGCAATTAGATCAATTTATAATCTTAGGATTAGGGACTCTTTAAGGGAGAAATTTAAGGAAATAGATATTATGACTGTTGCTTCTCAATACATATACGAGAACTTAATGTACGTTCGTAAAAATATTAGTTTGTTTTCTATAATAAGTGATGTACACAATTTTAATACAAGAAATAAAAATAAATTAACGGTGCCTGTCACTAGACTGCAAAAAGTTAATAACTCATTCAAGGGTCTTTGTGTGCGCTTCTACAATAAGGCCAAAAGACGTCCTGAACGAGTGGTAGGGAAAAAAATGTTGGACGATTCAAAAGTACTTTTAAGAAGTCTATTTGAATAAAGATTATTTTGACTTTTTTTGACTTTTTATTAAAAAGTAACATAATTCGTTTATTTCTTTGTCATCATCTTCTTTGTCTTTGTCATCGCGTCAATGTTTTAATTAAATCTGAAATAAGTGATATGAATTACGGGTATTTGTAAGGTACAAGAGGTGGCAACCCCGTATCATTACAGCATTGGATTACATCGAGCGAAGCTCGCAGAGATCGGACGTGTCACGGAACTGTATGAAGCATAGGTCGCAACGATCGGATAATGATGCCCTTCTCCGGAGGAGGATGATCAAGTGACCGCATGCCCTGGGACTAGTCGATGTTGGAGGTGATGGCGGGCGGGTGGTGCGCATGCGCGGAACTAACACGTCATCTGCACCACTAACCCAATTTATGAATCCATGTTCCTTTGTCATAAAACAACACACACGGAGCTGTTGCCTCGTAAAAAGTATTCTATTGACGTTTACATATCGGCACAGGGCGTGTGCAGTATACTTGCAGAAACTCAAAAGGCTGTCTCTATCTTATTTAGTTACACAGAAATCTTTGAAATAAGTACTCTAGCGACTCTGAAATGAAGTAACGAAGAGAAAGAAACTGCTCCTGAAGCCGCGTTTCTTACTATTGACTATATTTCATCAATTTTGCATTCACGAAATAGTATTAATAAATATATTATAGAAAATTAAAAAATAAATTTCCCCAGATCCGGGTTTTTAAGGACTCTTTATTAAATATATAGGAAGACTTCCATTAAAGATATGCAAAGCAATGGCCTCGTTAAATTAATAACTTAGACTTACAAACACTGTAGTATACATACGCTCACGAGTCTTTACTTCTACTGAATAGATATAACACTCGTAGAGTATGAATTAATTGAATATGTAATATAAATTGTGTAACATGCAAACGAATAAGTGTTAATTGTACGTATCTAATACTAATTTTGAAACTGCGAATCGATTCTGTCTACATTATAGCAAATCGCTTAAAAAAGTCTATCGACTTCTGTACCGATAGGCTATTTTTATTGTATCGTAAGATATTATCGGGAACGTAAAAGTACCTACCAAAAGAGCAATAACTTTTTCTTTGTCTTTACTTTTCCACAAACGTTTTCATATAATGATAATAAATTTAAGTGCATAACACCTGTACCAGAAAGAGCCGCTCTTCCATAGCTAAAGGTAAGACCAATGGTAAAGTTATAAACAATTCAAAATATGCAAACAGACGGAACGTGTAAAATGCGCGGGCACGCGCCTATGTATTTGTGTGTCGGTGTGTGTGTTATATATATATATGCGCATAATATATTTTATATATTATTATATATATGCGAACATATATTCTTCTCTTCTTTATTATATTGAAGACGTATTCGAGGAGAGTGCGTTTTTTAAGTATGACATGGGGTATATACAACTTTTTAACGGAAAGTAGATCTGTCAGCGAGTACAGTAGTTGAGTTGGAAAATCACGTTTTTTTGAAATAGATGGATGACCTTAATCAGTGCCCTTTGAGCACGTTCGACCTCCAAGAATTTTGTTTCGGTTGCACCACCCCATAGTATAATGCAATATATTAAAATTGATTGGGCTAGCGAGACATATATTTGATTTAATTGGTCTTTTGAAGCTATATGTTAAACAAAAATGTTATATACGTTCTGGATTTTATATAAAAAAACACCACTAACTATGAAGACATATGTTATGATTAAGGTGCAGAGCAGGGGTGAAAACTAAAATTAACAGAGGGCCTAAAATTAACAAAGATTAAGAATGTGTAGGTCGTCCAGGTTCAAATAAAAAAAAATAAAAACATTCAATTATTCAGTACGTTTATTATTTAACATATAAATAAAGCAGGCGCATTTCAAACTCCCTAAAGTCTTTGTGTGCGATCTAAAATCTCGAAAAAAAACAAGGTTTTTTTTCTATGATATACCTATTATGATCGCAAGTCGGATTGATATCAATATAACTTTGTTAACTGGTGTAAAATTCGAAAAGTTAAGTTAGTGCATGAACTATGAGAAACTTGGCTTTGCTGTGAGATCTAAAAGCTTTTTGACGGTGCGAGCCAGACGGTCGCATTGGCAACATTTTACATGAAATGTTTATGATAAGATTTTACTTCTTTTTGTAAGTTGCTTATTACAATGTTTCTTGTTGAGGTCTGTTCTATCGGCAAGAGTACATTAGCGGTGCTTTTATAGCCTATTTATAGGGTTCCGTACTCAAAATGTAAAAACGGGACCCTATTACAAAGACTCTGCTGTACATCCGTCTGTCACCAGACTGCATCTCAGGAACCGTAAAAATTGGACAGTCGAAATGTTCACAGATGTAGATATTTTTGTTACCTCTTTAACAACAAATACTAGAAACAGCATAAAATAAATATTAATGGCGGCTAATATAATATGCTATGGAATCCTTCATCCGCGAGTCCGACTTGGCCTGTTTTTATCTTACTATAAACGGGCACACTCCATTGTGATTTTTCATTCCTTTATATTGAAGTTTTCTTTTTTAAATTGTAGGATCACATTTAAATATTTAATAAAATGCGTACATTAACATTATTCGTATAATAATGTAGTGAAATTAGGATAACTGACGAAAAAAATGGTGTTTTCAGTTTTCCAAATTATTTCTGCATGTACCGCTAGATATGGCATCCACAGAAGACATTTATTTTGTTTTAGATTTTGAAACCATATCAAATTGGCGGTCCCCAGACGACTTTATATGCAGATATAATTTGGTACAAATATAATGAGTATTTAAAAAAAAAACCTAAGTTCCCGTAATCAAACTAAATGTCGCTACGGTACGTTCTTGATTACTCCATGAAAACCCTTCCGGTTTTCTTTTATGATTAACAGTAAATAAGTTTTCAAAACTCAATAAACAACTCATACTCTATTTGTACTTTTTCGTATTTGTATTGATATTTAAGTTTCAGACTTTCCAAATTTTTTTGAATATCTTAGTTAAAAGGAACACATATGACTGTCTTTGGTCCATTCGTTTCCTGCAAAAAACTTTTGCTAGAGTCGCCATCTAGTGGAGGTGCCTTTTTAGTGCTTTCTTTTTTTTTTAAATACTTCCTCATTAAATATGTGCGATACCTCTGAAAATAAAACCTTATGTGTACGAAAAGAATTGAAGATTATTCAGTAAGGAGCAGTGGCGGATAAACCTTGTAGGGGGCCCGGGGCGGCATTAGGTCCGTACTTTTTAGAAATGGTGCAGAAACTTGATTTTGTGTTTACACCGCCTCCCCTACTAAGACGCCTGCTAAAACTACGAAACTAAGAAAGATAAGGCAGTACACCCCAATTTATGATTTGATCAAGGGAACTTTCAGCCATTTGGAGGCCCCCCAGGATAAGAGATAACAGGATCGTTTTTATCCTACTCAACATTTCCCTAGGAACCACATGGGCGAAGCCGCTGGGAAAAGGTAGTACACTATAAGTATTTATTTTTCACTTTTTGATGTTTCGTCTTTCTTATGGTTTTGTTTCCATTTTATTTATTTTTTTAATTTATTTTTGTTTTAATATTTTTGTCGAGGATTTTTAAATTTAACTTTTATTTCAAGCTTTTTATAGTTTTATGCATAAATGAATCGGCAAGCAGTTGTAATAGAACTAGAGACTGTTGAATGAAATAGGTAGTACCTAACTTATTATAGATTCTTGAAAGTATTTTTCTTTATAATAACCTAAGAATGCAATATTTAACTATACTGTTTTCTTTCAAATAGATTCCTCGGTAAATATACCGAAAATAAGTGCAGTAATATTTTCAAGGTTTGTACTTTTGCTGATGTAGGCTGCAGCATCAGGTTAGAATTTCCATATTAATGTTTATCTTCAAGTTTACACATGTATACCAAATTTTAAGAACAATCAACCATGGATACGAAACAAATGTCAAATTATATTGCAATACACCTCAACATGAGCCAGAGAAACAACTGGTGAGCCGTTTAACAAAGTAGCAAATTCTACGGGCCCCACGTGTTTGGGGGCCTCGCGCAATTGGGAGCCTCGCTATGGTTCAGAGCCAATTCATTAGTTTTTCAAGTCACTGTTAAATTATGCAAGAAATAAAATAAGCAACTCTTCTGACTAGTCTTATTTTTAAGTATGAATGACTGACAAATAAAACTCAAGTCACAAACAAGTTGTGTTGTGTTATTCGGAGAGCAAAAAATGACTTTTCCGTTTTTGAGATCAGATTTGCTACTCGCCTCGCTCTGGCTCAATTCGGCGCTGCAGACCTATCGGGGTGCCATTTTTTTAAGTTGATAAACAAAATTCTAAATCCTTTAAAAAAATAATAGATATAAACTCGAAAACAATTTGAAGTCCGACGGTGTACGCTATATCGTGTCCAACGAACACTCGCCCACATTCTTACAAGTTTCTTAAATTTGCTCATCATTATTTATTTATTTATTGATGGTAGACGTTCTAGCGGTTACACTTACAAATAAAAAATATTAATCGTAATCTGTACTACCGATTGACAAAAACGTCGTGGAATATAAGACATACGTGTGTTACATACAAAACATACATGCCGCCACATCGGTAATCTCCTCCTTTTTGAAGTCTGTTAAAAATATATGTATATTTATTTTCATTATGTGCAGGGACCATATCCTCTTGTTTTGTTATTTATTAGAAACACTTAACAAAACATATAAATTATTCTAATATTATCACCCGGTTTCTGCTCAGTTCCAGATTCACCAAGCCCATTTTTTAATGATCATTGGATAGCAGTGCTTGCTTTATAAAACTAGAACTTTTTGCCATTGAGAATAATCAGTTGAGATTTTTTAGTTTTCTCGATTCGGAAACCGGCCGGTATAGGTGGTAGTGTGTAGCGACGAGGCGCTACGAGATGCTACGATCGTAGCTCTCGTAACGACTACAAAAAATGCCGAGAAAGTTCGTTTTGATTTCTCTGAAAAAACATTTTAAAGTTGGTTATTATGTTTCATGGAAGTATGTATATATACATATAATGTTATTATTTAAATGACAAAACAGGAAAATTGGCGAATACAGTAAACAAACCGGGCCGACACGCGCTACCTCATAATTTTTGTAAGTTCAGCGCTACCTATATAATAAAACGTTAAAATTAAAAGTTTGTAGGGGTAGATAACACTTAACATTATTATGTAATACCGATTTAATTGAAAACTTAACAAATCTAAATTGAGCCTAGGTATAGATTTTTAAATACAGTGAATATATTTGTGAGTGTTCTTTTACTCCCCCCTGCGATATTCTCAATGCTGAGGTTCGTGATCTCCATGTAGCACTTCTTTTCAGATTACATTCCGCCACCTGGATCTGTCTTCTGTGGAGTAGATGGCGACGCCGATAGAGGAATCTTCGCCCCCGGGGTTTTTTTTCCACACCGCTCACCGCTTTTTCTTGCAACGCGCTCAAAGAACTCAAATATTTTGTGAAGGCACGCGTTGGCAAGTCTCGTCTCGACGTTCAGTTCCCAAAGTATAGATGCGTCGATGCATGTGCCGTCCAAGGAACGCGCGACATATTCTTATATATATGTAGATACTTATCATAGGTACCTAACTAATATCTTATTTAATAGTGGTCTGATTTTTATGCGAAGGATATTTGTGCCCCCAGTTCCAAAGAGGTCCCATAAAATGAACACCTCATTATTTATCATTAAAATTGCATTACTATAAAAAATTTTAAGAAAGTTAGGAAATTCAAAAACTTTATTTGAAGTCGGGCGTTCGAAAGCAGGTTCGGGAATACCTCGCTCGAATCCAAAGAAGTTTCTTGAATTAATGAATTGCCTCAAATTGTCCATAACTTAACAAAGGCAGATTTAGTTATCGATTTGTAGAAGTCGGTTTTAGTTTTTTTAATATACAAAAGTTATTGTAAGCAGCTACTACAGTCAATGCCCACTATTTCCAAAAAAGCTCTCGAGCAGTCACGGTAGCAAAAAACATCTTACCGCGTTTGATCTCCAGCATTGAGATTAAGCGACTTTCGTAATGGCCGGTTATAGGACGGGTGACCGAACATTTATTTCATCGAACTCCTCAGTCCTTCTGAAAGCATTTTAAGCTGTCCCAACTACATCTGCAGTCGTTAACATCAATCCGCAGAGGGCTCGTAAAAGTGTTATGGCGCGTTCTTCCTCTTCAGTTCCATCCATACATAGGGCAGGTATGTGCCCCAGCAATGTGGACTTTATACAGTATGAATTGTTTGAGCACCCGTTGATACATACTTTAAGAAATATTCTGAAAGATGAGGTTTTACATCGAGCCGTAGTGGCGCGGCGCGGCTTCCGTCTGCCGGCAACAAATCAATAAGTAACTTCGTCACAGTGCGACAGTCTGTTTATTGTTTGCCCCAGCTTTGTATTGTAATATCTAACAACTATATATATTTTAAATGATATCAAATAACTTTTTAAAAGGGATGAGATGAAGGGATATTTAATTTCGTACATCATTTGCATCGTTCGATACGAACCGCTCGGCGCTATTGCGTCATTCCTTTTACCATCACCTCGCACTAATAACATGCCTACACAGAAAGTTACAAAGGAAATCCCCCCGTATTCGAGGGGCTCTATAAGAAGGACGGACGGGAAAATAAATCTTAGGAATTTATCGACATTATTACAGTCTGAAAAGATTTCATTGAACGATGTACAGGCCAGAGAAGGCTAAGTACGTACCTAGCGAGGTAACCGCGTACTCGGTCAATACGAGCGGTAGTGAATGGGTGCGGTGGGCGGCGGGGGGGTGTGGAGGGGTCGTGCGGGCGATCGATGGGCGGCGCCGGCGGGTGGCGGCAGTCGCGGCCGGCGCGCCGCGCGGGACGATCGAGCGTGGACCGGAGCAGCTGTACTATACCGCGTGCATATCTATCGACCGCACCGCCCGGCACCCGCGACTGCGGCCCGCATCGATCGCTCGCGAGGAGGTACGTATGCGACCGGCGCCGGCGGCCGAGCGCGTGCCGCCGACCGCTCCGCTCATTGACGGCGGAGCCTCCCCGCCTCCTATCCATCCATAATCACATGCGCCCCTTAATAAATAGGCTGTTCGATTTAACAGCCATTTCGGATTCGATCACCTTTTCTAATTTAATGATGGCTCGAACAAAGAAGCACACTACTCGTTGTTAGGGATCAATAATTGACCGATTACCTGAGTCATTAGTTACATACAATTTTTAACTTAACGAACTATATCAAACACTGACGAATGAAAATATTTGTTGCATTTTATTTCATCAGAACCAAGAGTTTATCATTGAAAAGTCAGAAAATAGAAGGCTAGGAAGTGTAAGAAACGTAAAAAAAAACGACACAGAAACTTGTTTCCAGATTTTTATTACTGGCAGTTTAGTTGCGCTAGATATGCTCGTGTTTTCAAAAAGGGAGATCGCAACGAGGCAATAGGTATACCCGTGTGGGCCTGTGGTGGGTGGATGGGACGCGAGGTGGCCGGGTGTGCGGGCCCGCGGTGGGCCCGTTGCAGGGCGGCGGCGGCGCGGATGCACCCGGAAGGGCCCCACCCACGACCCAACCAACCCCCGCCCGACTAACTCAAATTTCAAAGGCTCATCAGTCAAGTATCAAAATTAACCCTTGACTTCAATAAATTGTAAGGAGAACCTTTAGGTACATTTAAATGACTCTATCACACTTATACAATGCTACCTTACTTACCTATTGTTTGGGATCTTATTCATAAAAACGGCCGCATACACTCGTAAAAATATCTTAGTACTTTTACTGGATCTAGGTAATTTTCTTTGTCTGTATAAGTACCAACATATAAGGCATATACTCATAATAATTAATTATTAATTTTCTTAAGATGTAACCGAAATTAAATTAGTTTTACAATTAGATCTAAGTAAGTATTCATTAAGTATTGGTAGATAATTAATAAAAGCCACACGCAGGTACCTAATTATATATGTATATATTTTTCAAACTTATGATTGATGATTCCTTTAATACCTCCGAATAATCAATGTATAATCCAATGTCTCGTACGCCTCGTAACAAAAGTAGCAAATGCTACGGGCTCCGCGCCTTTTCGGGCCCCGCGCAATTGGGAACCTTACTATGACCAATAAAATATTTTTTCTGTCAATGTTTAAAAATGTAAGAAAAAAAATAAGCCATGCTTGGCATAAACTAACATTTTTAAGCATAAACACAAACTGATGCAATCACAGATTAGTTGTGTTGTGTTAAAACGAAGGACGAATTATCTGTTTCGTTTGCAAAGTTACTGGTTCCGATTATTAGTCATCGTTATCATGAAAGATATATAACGTGATTGCAAGAATGCCCACAATTTTTTTAAAAGCTATAAAATATTATTTTGTCGTTAAACCTCAAAAACAAGAATAGACGTGTTGATGATACTCATATTGTAAGTCAAATTAAGTCTGAATAGTTGTATTGGCGGTTGCTTTTACAATGAAATGTAACAAATCAAGAAGTGTGTTTGTAAGAATATTGTTTTAGTTCAATTATACACCTAATCTCCAGCAAACCAAGGGCCTCCAAAAACTTCGAAATCCTAAGCGCTACTTCCGATAATTTAAGAAAAACATTTTTTGTCCAATTTCTTTGTCCTCGTGTCGGCATTGTTTATGATTGTTGGCGACCAACCTTATTTAAAATATTTTTTAAGTTTTGGTTATTCTTTTAGATTATTATCAGTCTCTCAGTTCGTCTTAGAATACACGAATACTCGGAAACTGTGTTTCAATTCTATCTATCTTTGTGTATCTTGTATGTTCTCTTTTGTTGTGTAATAAATTTAATTATGATTATTATTATTAATTCGGTCCTCAATAGTCATGTTTCCACAATATTATTGCTTTTATACTGACCTTGACGTCGTTGAATATGTCATTTATAATTTCAATCTCTGTAGCTTTTTTCTGTTTTTTTTTTAAAGCAAATTAATATCTATAAATACTGTTTGATATATAAGTACTCTATGGCAATAACTGTATAACTGCAATATTGAGTTCAATTCATACTGAATATTTTTAGTGGCCCTTTTGTATACTTATTAGATATGAATAAGAAATCGCAATGTTAGTATATAAAATCGTCTATTAATTATGTGGCGGTAACTATGATAATAGGATACTCAAATGTTTCGGTGAAAGTATTTTATTACTTTCATATAATGATAATATTAAACCACTATCAGATTAGTTTTCTCAAAAAAAAAATGTTATCATATCGACGCTGGAAAGCAAACACGTAGTAACCCGCAATACCAAAGTCGTTCTTTAGAGCAGAAAAACATTTAATTTTTTTGGATAAAAATATTCTGTATTATAGACTTGATGTAACCATATTTCTTACCATGGGTGTTCATAAGAATTTTATTCATTAATTACACTCGCGTGCAATTCGATCCATGACGTCACATTTCAATAAACATGAGTACTGGTTGCACTCGCAACGAAGATGTTGAGTTTAGTTTACAATGCTAAATATTTATAAAATAAAAATTGGTCAAATATATTATTTATGATGATTAATGAGCAGTACAAGTGTAAACAGTAGCGTTTTTCGTACTGAATTAACAGCTTAAAATTAGGTATAAGTGCTACTCGCGTGCAGGATTATAATTATTGCTGTTCATTGCATATCTACCATAAAATCCGCTACAGATTTGACACCAAATTTGACTTTGTGTGGGGTTCCGAAAACACACTCCGCGTTAATAGGTCCCAGTAAATGCACGGACGCCTTGCAGGTGCTGGGTGTGGATGTTTTTAATATCCTAGTTTTACAGCGGTCAGGGCTACTGCAAGGTAGTTTTATATTAATGAAAACTCAGCAATAAACGAAATGCTAATATACACCTACCCTATCTGAAACTATACTATATATAAAGATTAAGTACAGTATAGAAGACACGTCAATAAGCGAATTGCGTAGGTGTAACCAGCAATGGAGGGCGGCGGCGGTGTGGGTAGCGTGGCGTCGCTCACGATGGACTGCGAGGACATGTTCAAGGAGATCACCAAGAAGCTGTACGGCGAGGAGGCGGTGGGCGTGGGCGTGGGCGTGGGAGTGGGAGTGGGCGTGGGCGTGGGCGGAGTGGTCGGCGTCGAGTTCCCGGCGGCGGAGCGCGACCTCGACGACGACCTGCGACCCGAGGAGCACATCACCGCCTGGGGACTCGCCGCCCTCATGCAGAATGGCTTCCCGCCCCCGGGAATATTGCAGGTCAATACTACTACTACTGACACATCGTTTCACATCACATTTAATCTGCCCCTTTACTTTTCTTTCGGTAAAGCCTCCAGATAAACTTTTAAGGCGTTTTTACATACGATGAAATTTATTCTGTTCGAAGGACCATTACAAATTATTAACTTGAAAGAAAAAGCTACAAAAATACTCTAAGCACTACAATACTACACACTACAAAAACGATAGAAGCGGTGAGATCCCTCAACAGTGATGAGTACGACCCAAGGAAGACGAAACCATAGTTTAATCCGATGAGAATCACCGGTCTCCCATATCTACTTAATAAATTTACAGCAATCATCGATATTTATTTATTTATTTAATTTCATTGCATTCCACAATGTAGTAATAGGGTTGTCACAAAAAATGATCGCTTCATAGTGGACGATTAAGCAAAACGACGCCTGTCCACAGTTTTTGAAAGTTTGAAAGACGTATACTCGCGAAACGTTCAGACTGCGCACCGTTCAAGTTTTCAAAAACGGGGGGCAATTCGGACGGCGTGACAATAGTAGGTGATGTAACGTGCAGGCGAACTTCACGCCGCGCATAGACACGAGCGCGGAGGACCGCTGGTCGGCGGCGGAGGAGCCGCTGGCGTGGGCGCACTCGCGCGTGGCCGCCTACAACCCCGCGCAGCGCCTCTTCAAGTGCGCCGACTGCGAGTGCGTCGGCTTCCTGGCGCGCATCGCCGAGCACTGGCTCGGGACGCATTCGCAGGTTTGTGCTCGTTATATGTTGGAACACAGTGCAACTATAGATCGAGATTATATGGATGCTTCCGTGTGCGGGCAGGCTCGCGCATTCCAGTGCCCGGTGGCGGGCTGCGGGTTCGCGTCGGGGTGGGCGCGCGGGGTGCGGGGCCATCTCGCGCGCGACCACCACTCCGACCCCGCCGCCGCCGACCACCTGCTGCGGGACAACCCCGCGCTCGACGACCTCACCAGATATCTGCAGCGGCTCAAGAACAAGGTCACCTTTCACTCATTTTTCACTCTACATCGGCGTCGACGCACCGATAATTCGTTCTACCCTCCGCCGAGGCGTCGGGTTGATCCTCGTTATGATTATTCTTTATTCTTATAACAAATTCTTGAAAACTAAATCATCCTTATTACGAAACACATGTATCTCTCGGTCCACAGGCCGATCGATACCTAGTATAGACGTCCGGTCCGTCGATATCGGGGTGCATTATATTAAATATCGTATGACGACGTGACGAAATCGTTTTAAACATGGGCAGGTGGAGGCTCGCAACGAGAGACGGAACGGCGGGGGCGGGGCGGAGGCGGCGGGGGCGGCGGCGGCGGCGGCGGTTCCGGCGGAGACCAGCGAGGCGGGCAAGCGGTACGCGTGCGCCTCCTGCCCGTACGCGACCGACCGCCGCGACCTCTTCACGCGCCACGAGAACATCCACCGCGACGAGAAGCCCTTCCACTGCTACCTCTGCCAGAAGCAGTTCAACCGCGCCGACCACGTCAAGAAGCACTTCCTCCGCATGCACCGCGACCAGCCCTACGATCTGAACCGCATCAGGAGGTCGCCCGCGAAGCCCCCCCCGCCGGCGCCGGCGCCCGCCCTGCACTACTACAGCAAGCCGCCGGCGGAGCCCCCGCCCCCCACGCTGGAGTACCGCGCGCCCCCCACGCTCGCCCCCGCCCCCGCGCCCGCGCCCGCCCCCGCGCTGGCGCCCGGCGGCGTCAAGCTGGAGCGGCCGCCGCTCACCAAGGCGGAGACGGCGCCGCCGCCGCAGCCCCCCCACAAGCCGACGACGCCGCACCAGACCCCCGCCCAAGCGCCGGTTCGACGAAAGGTTTATTTTCAATACACCTTATGAATAAAACGAAACTCGAATCGAGCGGAGTGAATAAAAACCACAATATTCGGTTCCCGAAAGCGTAGGTGCGATCGCGCGATATCTGCCTATTTTCGTGAAGAACTCAACGCGCGTAGGGTATCTCCGGAATCGACCGTCTTTCCTCGTATTTACATCACGATCGTACGCACAAAAAATATATGTTGTCCGATCCCCTCCCGTGTGAATCTCATCGGTGCCGAATAAAGTCGGAGGCCAGAGATAGAGGGTCCCGGTGATAAAGCTCGGAACGCTTGTCGTGCAGGGCGAGCGGCGCTACGCGTGCTGCTACTGCACGTGGTCGGGCGTGGACAACTGGTGCCTCAAGCGGCACCTGAACACGCACCTGAAGCCGTTCGCGTGCGCGCTCTGCGAGTACAAGGCGGCGCGCGCGGAGCGGCTCGCCACGCACGTGCACAAGGTCCACAACAAGAAGGCCTGCGCCAAGTGCCCCTTCCTGGCCGACGACCAGGCGCAGCTGGCTCACCATCTGCGCGACGCACAGTCAGTACCACCCCGTATATATATATCGCTATACAGTTTAACCTCTTCCTCCGTCCCGGACGGCCCCGGTTGAGCTTCTTCTATTGTTCGATCGGCAGTCACATCGAGAGTCGCAACCTGAAGGTGCCCACTGGGGTGACGCGCATCTCCGGCGGCTCCTTCGCGGCCGGCGCGAGCAGCGACGGGGGCGCCGGCGGAGCGGGGGCGGCGGGCGCGGCGGGGGCGGGCGCGGGCGCGGGGGCCGAGCAGAGCGCGGGGGCGGGCGCGGGGCGGAGGCGCGAGGGGCGCGCGGCGGGGGCGGCGCGGCTGTTCGGGTACCTGGAGGCGTCGGACGGCTCCGGGGACGAGTACGAGGGCGCGCTGGGGGGCGAGTTCGCTCCGCAGGCGGCCGCGGGCCCCGCCCCGCAGCACTACCGCGACAAGGAGAACGCCGCCCCGATGCATCACGCCGTGCACCACGAGCACTGCCTGCGGTACTAGACGACGGCCGCTCCGGGGAGCGAAAGGATCGATCGGGGCGAAATCGAATCTCGAGAAACGATCGAGTCCGCCGGACCTCCGTTTTGATTGTTCTCGGAGACGAAGCTTCGTCACTTTATCTTCTACTCGTTTCTGTGTTAATAAATTATCGTTCGGTAGTCGATTCCGACCACCTTCCGATATCGTTTCGGGGAATCGCTCGAGAAGGGAGCCGCGGTGGCGCGATCGATAAAAGGAAAACCTTCGTTTCGATCGAATCACCGCGGCGAGAGTGAGTTGTTCGACAACTTCTGTACAAATTGTTATACGTCGTGAAAAGAAATATATTACTATGATGAAATTGTCGTTTCATTTACAGATATATTATTGTTTCTTTTCATAATATAGAATTGTCATAGAATTTAATAAAGTGACAAATATTATTTATATTTTTTTCACTTTTATAATAACATTTTTTTCACTTTTATTAAGCGTAATGTCGGTTCTATTTTTGAAGCTTATATTATATAATAATAATAATAATAATAAAATTGTTTATTTGTCTTTTTTTAAAAACATAAAAACAGCAAACCATATTACTTTAAATGTTATCTTAGAGGTACCTTCAAACATTTCAATATATACTGTTTATTACATAGATAATTAAGATCCTGCAATAATGTGAATTTAAATAAGATTCAAAACATATATCAAAGACAAAACGGTCTATGACTCAGTAGCCGCAGACATGCTAGTCCACTGCTCCTGTTATTCTGTCATAGCCTTTTCCAAAAAAAAAAACAAAGCTATAAAATAAGATGACATGATTCGCAACACACACAAAGACAACTGAGCCATATTCAAGGCAAGTACACAAATCGGACTGAATCAATATATTATTTACTTAAAAATAATAAACATTAATAGGGCAGAAGACCCACTTCAAGATGTTCCAACCAACGCATAGGTAATGCGTTGGTTGGAACATCTTGAAGTATAATGATTTACTTTATAATAAACGATTTTTTTTTTACATTTTACTGTAATAAATCAAGTACAGAGCCACACAACAATCCAAAAATAGCCACAACCGGGACGTCCGCCCCACAAACGTTACAAAATAACATGATATCTATAAAATATGACTAGGGAGACCTGATGCCAGCGCCAGAGACTGCTCCTGCATAAGCCATCTACGATATTTTTTACGAAAAGTTGGTAAAGTCGAGTTCAAATCCGCTCTAATTGGTGGAGGTATATTATTCCAAATTTTAGCAGAGGCATACTTAAAACATCCCCTGGCGCAGGAAAGCCTAATTGGTGGCAACAGGTATAGATGCCCCCTGTCTCTTAATAAGGGGTTAGTATACCTAACAGTAAGCTTATTTATTAGATATGAAGGCAGCTTCGTATGATGCAGTGAGTGCAGAAAACAAGAGTATTTTAATTTTATTGTGTTAGGAACATTGAGTAAACCCTCACGGACCAGATACGGGGAGATATGATCTCTTTTATGAGTATCAAAACAATATCGCACACATGCACTCTGCACCCTTTGCATGGATTTTTCAGATTTTATAAATAAACATGGGCCAAAAACTATATCACAGTAAGACAAATGAGATAATACCAGGCTATTGCAAAGTAGTAATCTTATGTCTTTTTTTAGCAAAGAACGTATTTTGTAAAGATTTTTTAAGGTGCCGTAGCATATAGCAGATTTGACCTGTATATGTATAAATATTACCAAAACATTAAACATCTATACAAAATATGTTTTATTTTGTCGATGTTATAAATAGGTCATCTAAATAGTTTTTAGTATTTGGCGAAATGCTTCTAATTAGGTTGTTGTAAAAACAAACCTACTAAACCGATTTCGCCGAAACTTGTAAAGGACCAACCATCGCGGTCAAGAATTAACGGAAAAATCGGTGAACATAAACATCTTGGGGCAAGAGGAGGCAATTGCCCCCGTGCGCCAGTGTCATTATTAATAATAACCAGTGGTCGGTATTAGGTAGAGTTATTCATGTACTTACACTGATTTCATCCCGAGATTAATTTTAAAAAGCAGAAAAAATACCGTGATTTTTTAAATAAAAAGTTATTTACTTTTACACAATTTAAACTACTGCACGCACGACGTTGCCAAACTTACATCAATGAAAGAAAGAAATAAAGAAATCCCGGGAAGGTCCACATTAATATCAACATTTCGATGCAAGTACATAAATTACCTAATTCCGACCTCTGATAATGACACTGTTTAAAATAAAGTACTTTTTATTAACATAAATCTAAATAAAATATTGTAATACCTACATACAAAACCCGACTGCGTGAAAACAAAAGAAAGAAGTGTTTTTTTTTATTTTTTCACTAAAAACTAAAGAAAAAAACAAGCCCGGCAGTTTGGAATGTCATTAAACTACTGAATAACTGCACCATTGAAATAGTTTCAAAATCTAAACGCAAATAAAACATATCATATATTCAAAAGCAGAATATAAGGATCAACAGTCGGGACCCATACCTTTTTGACCAATCAACGGAGCCCGTATATTTTGAATGGATCCCGTTTTTAGTGAAAGTAATTATATATATTTTATTTCACTTCTTTCTTTTGTTTTAACGCAATCGGGATTTTTGTTTTTTTTTTATAATAAATTTTTTATTTTTACACTTTTTAGTTACTTCTCATTGACTTCGTTATAAGAACTATAAGTCGTGTATTTCACATCTTGTCATTTCATTGAGGGAGTTTATATCGTGTTGATTATTAAGCAAATTGCGGTGGTCTAAAATACTGTTTATTAGCCCCTCTTGAGACTTCAATCGGCTCAAAGCTACATATGCTTGACTCTTGGCAAAAATTGATGAACTTAAGTCAACCACAGCTCGGTCACTTTAAAGCTTAATCATTTGCGAACGGCTCACTATATCTAAAAACAGTCTTCGCACACTTCTAATATTTTATTAGACCTATCTAACAATATCCCACACTACAGGGAAATCGAAAAAAAATTAAAAATCCCCACTTTACATGTAGGGGAGGTACCCTAAAAAATTTTTATTATAACAATACGAAGATTTGAATAGGTTCGCAATTTTATGATTAGTGACGGATAACTGATTATTACTTAATTATTAGATTTAGGAGAAGTTTTAATTGAATACTTTATTTAATTGTTAGTTATTTAGTACTCTTAGTTTTCTTGATTTAATTTACAGTTGGGCAGTACTTCGAATCGCGTTCGTGTTTATAATTACTTTTCTAGTATTCTAGGTTTAGTTTATTTAGTAAGATATTACTTTGCTTCTGTACTTTCTACTATTTTTCTGTACTAGGTAGGTTATACCTTTGGTAGAAAGTTCTTTTATAATTACTCGTAATTATATTGACACTTGTCTAATAATTAAGAGTTAATGTTTCGTTTATAGTTTGTATATATTGAGTAGGTTTCTAGAAAAGGAAGTGAAATCCTACAAAAAACATTCTATAAAAGACTAGCCAAGTCTCGATGGAGCTGCTTGTTTATCTCTAAAAAGTAATAAAATCTAGACAAACTGCGATTTCTTTATTATTATAGTTAATATTGTGTGACTTGGCCGTCACACAACATTGGCTAAACCGTTTGGCCTCTACAATACCATAAAGGAAGAAACATACATACCTACATAGACTCATTAACTCATAACCCTCCTTTGCGTTGCGCAGTCGGGTAGAAATAACGAGCTTCATAGATCTTCACATGCAAAAATCTAATAATATAAAATCCGACCACATGGGGTATAGGGGGGTGTAGAGAAAGGACGCCATCTTCTTCTTTCAGAATCACATTATAAACATTCCGGTCGAACGTAGAACCACCTCTCTTTCGATTCTGAAGTCGGTTAAAAATGGTTATCGTCGTTTTTTTTTCACCGGGGGATCGAATGAAACACTTCGCTCGTCAGTAATACTGCTTTATTGAGTATGCGTCTATAGATATTCCGAGTTATTCGATACGGTCCCCCCGGACCGGGGGACGGTAATATCACAGAAGCGAGGGCGCCGCCTCGCCTCGCAAAAGGTCTACAAAAATATTCACATCTGCGTCGCCGCACCGCGCATACAAAAATAATTATCATATACGTATATAGTCGGATACGAAACGATACATTCTTACGGGCTACCTCCTCGGACGACGAGATTCGGGCTGGAGTCTCACGTTTCGGAACACCGAAACTCATCGATCACCGAAACGAGCACGCGACCATCGACCGGTCTCTCCGCCCGGACGGATAAGAGTCGAGGGGCGGAACGTCGTCCGGGACCGATCCGACCGCGCGTCTACACCGCCCAACGCGGAACATCGGCGTCGGTCTGCGACGAGTCTAGGGGGCTAGCAGGGCGCGGAGGGGTCGGGGTGCGGCAGGGCGGGCGGGGGCGGGGCGGCGCGCGGGTGCGGCGTGGGCCGGCGCAGCAGCGCGGGCTTGGCGGCCAGCGCGGGCTTCAGCGACCCGCCGGTGAGCGTCAGGTCCGCGAACTTGGCGGCCACCCGCGCCGTGTTCCGCGCGGGCACGGGGCTGCCGCCCGCGGCCGCCGCCTCGCCGTCCGACCCGCCCCCGCCCCCGCCCCCGCCCCCGCCCCCACTCGCCGCCGACCCGCCGTCCGACTCCGCGCCGCTGTCCTCCGGCCCGGGGGTCCTCCTGCAACAGTTCGGACGTTCGACTGAGGGCACGAAACGACCTCGACCGAGGAAAGGGTCGATGGAGATTCCGAAGACTTTAAAGCGGAGGTTTATTTAAAAAAAAAATATTTAGGATAGTGGATCGTACAAAAATGTGCACTGACCTGGCGGGTCGTTTCTTGAGCGTATCGCGGTTGTGCAGAAAGGTGTCGGCGGAATCCGAGGTGGAGTCGGCGACAGCGGGCTCGGGCGCGGGGGAGGAGGGGGGGTCGGCGGGGGTTGCAGGCTCGGCCTCGGTGGAGGGCAAGGGAGCGGCGGCGGGGTCGGGGGAGGGGGAGGGGGCGACGACGGGGGCGGGGGCGGCCCGGGCCGGGAGGTCCAGCACCAGGTCCGGCGTGCTCTCCGCCAAGCGTCTGCTGGAGGCAATGAGGCTTAACGAACACGATTACGGTCTAAATTATTGTGATTCAACAGCAGCATGCGGTTTAAGACGTACCTATATATCGATAGTGATATTGTAGTACGTATCTACACGATATTTTTATTATAATATCCTTTTCGACATTTCGCATCTAAATACACTTGTAATTCTTTTTTATTGATTAAATTTTTTTGGCTGCGATCGGAAAGGTCAAGCGACTTACACAAAGGTCAATGGATTGATGGATTACCAAAATTTTACAAAGTCAAACCGATACTTCAGAAGAATGCTCTGAAAGTCACGATATAGTGTGATCCTATCTATATGGAGGAGCAGAGCTCCAGCAGTATTAAGGTCGGTAGGGTGTTAACTGTTACTTTTATAATGAAATATCCAATATTCACCTGCAGGGCGCTCCGGACGCGCAGGGCTCCCCCGCGGGCGGCTCCTGCGGAGACACAGCGCTTACTACACACTCGCACGTCACTCTCGCGGACTCGCACCGCCATAAAACTGTTACAGTCAATTGTCCCTAATATGGCGCATGAATCCTCGTAGCGCAGAGCAGACCTACCGTTCTGACGTTGACCAAATCCATGATTATATAATGAGATAATAATATAATGTAAAACTAAACGCATAATTTTCCGTCTTGGCGTTCTACTGATTGGTCAGGATTTAAGGCGCTTCCAAAGTTAGCCTTTCTGCTCGGATACATCGAGGACATCAGTTGTAATTTACTATACTCCATTAAATATTAAATAATCTTAAAAAAAAATAAAGGCCCCAACACATTTTGCCTATGTTTGCCATTGTACTATCTATTTGAGGCCCAACATTATTAGTGCAATGTGATTTTTAATTAATGGTGAGATGTTTGCAGTTGTATGATGTAATTGCAAAAACCGAGTGAATACAATAATTACTGAAGCGCCAATGACTCTCCACGATTGTAAGTAACTAACATTGGCGGAATTAGCGTTTCGTCTTCTAATCACTTCATTATTATAATACAGTTTTGTGTTCGATGCTTTAGTGTCATTTTTCAGGTTTTGAAAAAGTAATAATGAGAGTATATACAATGACTTCCCTTTAAATATCTTCAAATGAGCCTATGTTTGGTACGTTTCCTCGATTTTTCCAAAATCCCAGGATCAGATTCAGATTCAGATCCTATTTGACTAATTAGCCCCGGCGTCTTCGAGTGATCGGGAAACAAAAAAATAGCAATAAACAAGATTTCAATGAATCGATAAACTCCCACCCTTTTTGGAGTCCGTTAAAAGTATATCGAATTAAGACTGAAAACGAAAAAATATACATTATTATTACTTATTAAATTTTTGTGAGTTTTATGGTTATTACTTTTGTAAGAGATAAGCTCCGGTCCCATCGATCAAACGAATCTATCGTATTCGTAATGTATCTATGTTATATGATGATTGATTATACCCTTGTGTACTCTTTATCATGTGAAGACTTTACTGTAGTTATGATTCAGTTTCAGGAGATGTATAAAATAATTAGAAAAGGTACATCTCCAAATTCAAATTTATTAAATTTGTATTTCAATTAAACTTGCAGACTTCACTCGTAAAAATAATGTATTTACTTTTTATAGGAAAGATCGGGGAATGAAACTGATTACAAAAAACTATGTAACCCTTGTCTACACAATTCTCAATAAATTTAAAGCACAGCTCCACTAATTTTTTTCTTCAATTCATCTTAAGTTGTAGTATGTTACTGGTAAAGCTCAATTTCAATTGCGAAAACATGTTTTATAGCAATCTCAACACAAATAGAGATGTTGACATTTTTCGCGTTATTTTGAAATGTATTAAACAGTGTATGAGATTCAATGTAGTCCTAATATTGTTATTATCTATAGGGATGACCACGGGGTAAAAAAAAAGAAATTCCATTTAGTCTGTCAGTTAGATAATAGAAAAATATTGGATACAAATTTTTTGTCACAGTTTTGTAGAAAATGTACAATTGCGTGACGTCATGCGACATTTCAACTCAATGCATCGCCGATTATGCATATTGATTATGCAAAAATAAAAAAAAAAATGTATTTAATATTCTTCAATAATCTATCTACCAGACGGACTAATAAACAAAAATTAGTCGTCATCCCCATTTTTAAATAAAAATATATCTGTTGTTTGAAACATAAATATAAACATAAAATTATGTGTAAGTAATAAAACAAAAAGAAAATACTGTAACTGTCCATAATGTTTGCAAACCACTGGAAGCGATAGTGTGAAGCTAGTGATTTATTTGTGGAAATGCATTTCTATATCAGACTAATATTTATTTATATCATGATATAAACATGTCCGGTGATAATCGTTGCCACATACATTTACATACGTTTTGATGATTATTTATTTGGTAATGAAAAATGCTTTAAAAGTCCACTATGTCCCTAGCACTCTGAGGTGGGACTCGGACTCATTTATTAATATTATTATTATTTAATGTTGATATTAAAAAGTATTGTGCTTCTTGTGTTGCTGTCACAATATGACCACATCACTATTTGTTTATTTGATGGCAGTCAACGTCTCCGTATATGATTGATATCCAATATTGATTTTATTGCCATGCATGCACCCAACACCTGCTTTATAATATTGGTGGCTATCATACACACAAACACACACACACGCACATACGCACACGTACAGACAATGAGAAGCGTAAATTAAACAATACATGCATACTTATGAAACAAGTTTATTGTTCATTATCACATCGACAAGGCGTTAGTGTATCTCAGTCTTTTATAAGGCAGTGTGGTCACGAAAGCTAAGCGTCCACCCCTCGGTCGACGCACTATATACTTACAAACATATAAATACGTTAAATATCAGTTCAAAGCGCAGGTAAATAGTGATTCGATGGTTATTATTTACAAAAGATTTCACTCAACATTATATTTAAAAAGTGTTCGATCTCTTCATAACACGGCTATCTTAACTTATTAATAAAATAAAAATATTATAATTATCAACAAAGCGGCGTCAAGCATCAATATAATGACAACGAATGCATGAAAACACCTTCACCGTGCGAATAATGGCCGAGGAACGTCACGTTAGAGTCGTATCTCATATTTTGTTTCACAGTTCACAACCTCTAGCGTATTTAGAAATACTGTAAATAAGACAAATACGGATATAATGCAATATAAAACGAATAAACACTTTAACAACAAAACAATAGAGATCCGATCCTAACGGGTAATAGGACACGTGAGCGCGCAAACAGATATTGACGCCACAAGCCGCTGCTCTCTATCTACGTGCACGTGCACGCACATGTGCACGTGCACGTTCGCGTACACTACAAGCGCGCCACCTGCGGTGAGCGGTCGCATCACTCACGTACGCTCCGAGCGTTTCCACTAATCATTTCATTTAGTATTCGTTCCTTAAAAAACTCTTTGCTTTCTGTGGTTAATGAAAACGAACTAAGCATATACAAATGTATAAAATAAATTACGCATTAAAAAAACTTCTACGGTAGAAATGAATAACGAACAGTTGTCGGAATAGCTAGACTGTATTTAATTATTGTTCGATGAGACATTATATGGAGCGTTAGATCGACGCGACAGACCATCACGGTGAATACTTTTCTACTAATATTATAAAGAGAAATCTCTCGCCGGTCGTTCTCGGCACGAGGTCTCCCGCCGTACATTTACGAATCGAGGGCATAGAGTTTCCATGGCGTATAAGAGATTTTGATTTGATTTGAAGATTCTGACTGTTTGCTGGCATTGAATTGAATAGGCTCTAAAATAACTGGACCGATGTTAAATGTTCTATCACCTACAGGCAGCTGCATCAGGCGCGAGTGATATGGGCTGTAATTTACGTATGCGGAGTCGCCGTAGTCGTTTATGTTGCATCGGCCATGACTTGACATCGCGTTAATATAGAAAGCACGTACTAGATAATATATCCAGTAAGCCAATTCTAACAATCGCATCTCGATATAATCTCAACTACTTGCATTTTGCCATTGAACTATCTAACTAAAGTTCAATATTATTAGTGCTATATCTTCCGCACATATCAATGGTGACAGTTATATAATAATATTAGACTTCGGGTAGATAATACAAAGGCCAACCGCAAGTAGTTGAGATCCTATACGTGAATACATAAGACCTTACAGCACTGAAATCAGAGTTGTAATACTAACGAGTAGAGTGGAAGTGGAAATTTCCAAGGCATCGAAAGTGCCAATAGTAAGTACACTAAATAGGCAACGAGACGTCAAGTTAAAACGTTCACGTAAATACAGTCTACTTAATCCGATCACTGGTAATAAATAATACAATATTTCACAAAATAAAACTGGTACTTAACTATACATGGACATGCAACAGTATCAGCACTGGAATATCGAAAGTGTCAAACGCAGAAACCGGCTGGAACGGTAGTGGCACTATCATTTGTACTAGAACTGTCCATATTACTAATTACTCCGTAAAGTAATTTTCTATGCATCGCGAACTTTGTCGTGGTTTGTCCCACTTTACTCCATTAAGAATACGTTATTTAAATTATCTAATACCGATTTAAGAGTGCAAGCGCTGGCACTTTACAGGATTGATTTGATTACACAGAGCGCAGTGGCTCCGAGTATATGAGGTTCTTAACCTGTTTCTGCGTGCACGGTATTGTGGTGCAGTGTAGTTTAGTGTAGTGTAGTGTAGTGTAGTGTAGTGTAGTGTAGTGTAGTGTAGTGTAGTGTAGTGTGCGTGTGTCGGTAGTATCGTTAGACGGAGGTCTCTAGGAGCGCTACCTGTGTGGTGGACGGCCGCCGCTCCGCGCTGCCGCATCTGATGACCACATACGATATTATAGTAACTATTGTTTTGTAACAATTGATTTATTAGACAACAGAATCATCAAAACAATCACGAGATTATATAAAAAAACGATTTTTTATTAAAAAATATTCATAATATATGTATTTTTTGTTATGTGTGTGTTTGTAGACTGACCCGTTTTCAGCAGAATTGGAATCCTGCCATTCACCGCTCTCTCCGTCTTCGCTGATCTCCTCATCTAGAAATTATGAGTAGATTCGGATTGAATAAATCGCCCAACACAGTAATATGTATTATTAACTTTAATGCCGTATATCTACTAATAAGATAAATATAGGCCAGAGAAAAACTCGAAAATATCATGTTTCTAGTATTTGAAACGTAAAATATTTATTATTTTGTGAACAGAAATACGTCATGTGCGAGCAAGCCGTGAATTGTCGACACATCATTTTTATAATAGTCTAGTTTACTCATAATTAATAAATTACCTTTATATAACTCAGTTCGCGTATATCAGCGTATCAAGTCATGCGCACGCTCTTAAATTTTAAATCTCATTAATTATAATCTCTCCAAGTTTCTTATAGCAAATATATATCAGTTTTATAATTTTAGTTCTAATCCGAACACATCATTTGAGAGAGCCTATCGACAGACGGACGGACAGCGGAGTTTTTAGAAATAGGGTTTGGGTACGGAACCCTAAAAAAAATGACGCGCCATTTACAATACACAAATATTATAAGTATCATGTGAGTACCGTCATCGTCATCGCAGAGGGATTGATCGTCTCTCGAATCTAATTCATCAGTTTCTTCCGCAGTCGGGAACCTGTCCACATAAAATAATAATACGTCTTAAACACACACTATTATCGATGGATATAATGTGATCACATGGGGGGAGGGGCAGGGGGCAGGGGGAGGGTAGTGCGTGCCGTGCCTGGTGTAGAGCGCGTGGGGCGCGATGTCCTGCGGGAACACGTCCCGGTGGTGGAGGATCATGCGCTTGACGAGCTCGTTGAGCTGGTTCTGCGTGGCCACCTGCTGGCCCCCCTCGCCCCCCGCGGCCAGGAGCGTGGGCCCCAGGCAGATGGCGAGGTTCCACGCGTCCATCATGTTGTACTCGCTGTACTCGGTCAGGCTGCACACGCAAACATATACACGTTACACCTTCACAGGACGTCAGCAGAACGAGATCTTTTAGTTCGTTTCTTATTTTTTATATTTTGTTGGGAAGGGAGGGGAGGGTTTTTTAACGTATCCTCAGCGGCACGTAAGGTTATATTGTTAATTTTCGCCGCTCGATCTTAAATCTTAACGTTCCTGAAGTAAAGGAGAAAATAGAGATTAAAGAGAAAACGAAGATTAGGAAACAGGACGTATTACAAAAGCTATAAACAGTATGAAACAGAAAACATAATTTCTGGGACTAAAGAAACCAAATCAGAGTCAAGCAGTGGATTAGATTATAAAATAAATAATGTAATAGATATAGTTATTAAATGTGAGCATACAATACGTACAAGATCAAAATATGTAAATTAGAATAAGACAGAAATAATGATAAATGTAAAAAACAAAATCTGTAAATAGTAAATATGTATAAACGTATATTAAACGTAAACATGTAAACGTAGAAATCATAATAAAAGATGTTCTTAAATAACGGATAATAACTAGAAGAAATAAAGAAGGAGACGTAAGCTTAAAATGTATAATATAAGATAAATATAAGAAAACTTATGTAACTAGATATGAGGAAAATTAAATTAACAAAGTTTTTAACAAAGTAAATTAGGGGATGAAAATTGAATGTAATAATTTCATATCAGGACTAAGGACTAGATGCGATACGATCGAACTGATCGGTGTCGGAGCGAAGGAGAGACTGACTGCGCGAGGAAGGCGAACAGGTAGCGCAGCACGAGCAGGTTGGGCGCGGGCAGCGGCGCCAGCGCCTGGCGCAGGCGGCGCACGCACGCCGCGTCGTCCGGCGCCGGCGTCTGCGCCAGCGCCAGCAGCGCCGCCAGCGCGCGCGCCGGCAGCAGCGGCGGCCGCACCGAGCGCAGGAACAGCTTCAGCAGCCCGCACACCGTGTTCACGTCCGCCGCGCCCCGGCACTTGCCGCCGCCACACAGCGGGTCCTCGCCGCGCTCGAAAGCCGCGCGCAGCGCCTGCATCTCCACCTGGCACGAAGAGCGAAATACCTATTTACTCTATATAAAAAATACAATCAATTCACGACGCTATATATACTAGAGAAGCATGATTATAACAAATAAAAAAGTTTTCGTCTTTTTAAACAATAAAAAAAAACACCAACTTTGAATGTTTTATAATAATTGTCTAAATTCTTTAAGTATGAGGTAAAATACTTTCGATTTTATTACTATTTTCTATTATTTTTTTATCAAAACATTGAAGTTTCATAAGTGTTTCTGGTACTTTATGACAGTAAAAAATATTACTCATAAAATTACGAAGTAATGTTGTATCCTGGTTAAAAATACAAGTTTTATATATTTTTTGTCTTCTCTGTTGTGATGATCCTAATTCACTTTAGAATTGTGTAACTCACTCGTTTTATTGAGGAAGAGTGAGGACCTCGTTTTATCTCATGAAATACCCGCCAAGTACCCCTCATCTGAAGTAAGGTAAATAGAATGAGTATGTACCGAGGCGTAAGGCAAACAAATGAACTACTTTGAACGCACCACAACTCGCCGACCGAACCGAGTGAAACACTTGTGATTAATCGAATATTGAAAACTATAATAATTACTCGTACTTATTGTTGTAAAAGTATTTCCGTACGTAATTTTAATTACATTACAATCATTTTTTAATTATACTCACTTCGCTTCACTTTACTTCGACTGATTAATATTATTTATATAAGATAACGTTAAAAGGCACTAGTTGCGAGGAAATGATAACTAAACTGAATCATTCTATCAAACTCATAAAACCGACCCACTCCCTCGATCAAACGATAATTATGTACCGACTCAATCTTTCATTCGAAGCAACTCACTACTCTGCCGAATGAGGTGTGATAACTGTGTTTATACCTCGTGTTCGAGGCCTCAGAAAATGAAGAGCAAAATGAGACGGTTCAAATTTGAAAAACGAGTACCGCCCTCATTTTATCGCGACGAGTCACACAAACGAGGTACCTCACGAGTGAGGAACTCATCACTTATTTACTTTGTTTACATTTGTTGTTCATCGAATATGGCTGTATTTCGATGTTGCGTGTTGAGATCGAATAGATGAATTAAATATCTGTCTATATATATCGAATAATTTGCCGTCCTATTAAAACGTGGAATCTCCCATCCCCCATGTTTCCAACTACATACAATCTTAGGTCCTTCAAAAGAGGTATTAAGCAGGTGTTAAGTCTGGCAGGCCGGCACGATAGTCGGGGCTGCCGGGGGTAGATTCGACTTCTGACAACTCCGACTACTATTAGACTATAATATGACTTCCTATCGAGAACTTTCTAGGTATTTTTTCATTTTTATCACTTTGTCCAACCATAATAAAAAAATATGTTCCAAAGATCAGATAATACATGCCGTGACATATATTATACAATTTTCCGAATTTCATTGAAGCTCGATGAAGCGTTCGCTTTTATTTGCGATATCGCCTCGGGAAAGCCGACGCGCATATGAGAAATAAAATCGAAGACTACAAAACGGATAACTGTACTCGCCTGCGAGCCGGAGACGCGGAACACGCCCTGGTGCTTGAGGCCGTACGTGGCGATGACGCGCACGCATGACGTCAGCACCGTCGGCAGCCGCTCCTCCAGCGGCGGCGCGAACCGCCCCCGCCGCGCGCGCGCCCACGCCCGCCGCGGGGGCGACGGGGGCAGCCACTCCGCGCCCCCGCCCCCGCCCCCACCAGCGCCCCCCAGCCGCGCGCGCGCCGCCCCCGCCCGCGCCTCCACGCGCGCCAGCCGCCCCGCGCACGACACGTACGCGCGGAACTTCTGGAGCGCCACAACACACATCCGTTGCTGTTGCCGGTCCACGTAACGAGTTGACGGCTGGTCAACTTCGTTTCGAGCGTAACGGTTTACTTTTATTTTTTAAATTTGCAACAATTATTGTTTGCAAAAATCTTTGTTACTTCTAAATTTGTAGTCCGAAGATCCACAAACGAATAATTACATATGTATATAGATAAGCGGGGACGGGCTCGAGAATTAGTCTCGCTCGAAGATCCCTCGTTCTCATAATCAATATAGATAGAATAATAATAGATAGGTATAATGATAGGAGAGTGACCGCCAGATAGTAGTCCTCCTGGTCCCGGCGCGCGTCGGTGTCGTCGTCGTGCGCGGCGAGCGCGCCGCTGCCGGGGACGGCGCCGGGGCCGAACAGGCCGCTCACGTCCCAGCGCTCCTCGCCGCCCTCCATCTGTCCGAAACGAATCACGATCACAGCTCCAGTCGACCGGAGGCGTCCCTCGCACGCCGCACGTTCGCAGCGTTCGTTACCTGCCGCACGAGCTCGGCCTCGGCGGCGTCCAGCGTCTTGGCGCTCTCTTGGCACTCGGCGTGCAGCAGCCGCGCGGCCGCGTCCAGCTGCTGCAGGCGCGCGCGCAGCTCCGCCAGCGCCGCGTCCGCCGCCGCGTCCGCGTCCGCCCCCGCGCCCTCCACCAGCGCGCGCATGTCCGCGTCCTGCTTGTCGGGCTTGTCGCCGTGGTAGGGCAGCGGGCAGGGCAGCGCGAAGGCGGCCGCGTGGTGGTCCAGCAGCCGCTGGCGGTCCAGCAGCGCGTCCAGCGCGGGCGCGGCGGCCGCCAGGGCCCGCGCCGCCGCCGCCGCCGCCGCCCCCCGCGCGCCCTCCGCCGCGCCCGCGCAGCGCACGCAGCGCGCCACCACCGCCTCGAACCCCACCTCCGCGCACTGTTCGTTTCCACATTACACTATTTATTGATCGATGTTAATAGAATCATTCCGAAAGAACAAAGAGATCTGTGGAAGAGGAAAATGTATCGTGATGCGAAACGTTGCGCCGGAAACTAAATAAATTCTCCTCGTTGATCGGCCGAGAATTCGCGTTCGTCCCCTAAATCGTCTACGCCTTGAATATTCACTGCTGCTCCTGCCCTATCAGATATCTTTGGTGGATTTAAAAATTTGTTAATTCGCGCGAACGCGACGCGCCGGATGCTCGCCCTGAACGATTCCGATTAACGATACCGCATACAAACAGTCGTGGCATGGAATTCGTAAATATCTTTAATGAAAAATTCTTAAAAAACCCATCAGACCTAGGTACCCCGAGATGTAACCCGTCAGATCCAGGTACCCCGGTACGCGGAGCTATTTTTTGAACATTTTTATAAAAATATTTATCAGTAGTCCGTCTCACCAGCATGATGTCGGCGATGTCGTCGAGGTAGTACCGCTGCAGCGTGGCGTTGGCGGCCTCGAGGCTGAGCGCGTAGTCGGCCCGGGCGCGCAACGCCCGGGCCCGCGCCTCGCTGTGGCGCGCGCGCCGCTGCGACCAAACAACACCACATACACATCGGAGCCGTCGTACCTTTCCCGGTAACGTTCCCGGGAGACCATCGACAGATTAAGGAAAAGATTCTGAATTACATATTAAATTATTCGTCAAGAAATTAAGGAGGATATATTATAAAAACGATGTCGGTCCGTTTGCGACATTTAACAACTATAAATATTAATTACGCGTCGCAGCACGTCCTGCGGTCCTCTGTAAACGAAAGGATCTTGAATCGCATTGTCGGTTGCGATGAAACGTTTTGAGCGCTCGGTGGCGCATCGTTTAGCGATTTTCGCTAATGCCGGTCATCAGACGGGTGACCGAAAGCTCCACATCCTCGTCGGTCCCCGCCGCATTCGGAGAACGTTATCGACCCCTAATTCACAGGATGGACTGTGGCCTATTATCTCTAGGAAACTTCACGATAGGAAAGACCTGTCCCGCCGGCGGGGGGAATATAATTGATCGACGTGATATGATCGTATCGATCGAGCCCCGTTTCGGGACCCTGGCGTTCTAAACGAATCTTCAAAAGCGATGGCTTTCGGGAGTCTCGAGTCGGAGTCGATAGTTCATTGCGAGATATTTTGTTTTTTATTGTAACATCAACACGTGCGATGGGGTGTGATGGGATGTGGTGTGGAGCGTTACCTTCTCCAGTTCCTTGTCGAGCGCCTTCAGCTTCTTGTGCCGGGGCGGGTCCTGCGCGGCGAGCCGCAGCCGCTGGTCGTGCGCGCGGCGCAGCTTGACGGCGGCCGCGCGCCACTCCGCCGCCGCCGCCGCGTGCGCCTTCCCCGCGCACCCCGCCTCCGCCAGCGCCCCGCCCACCTCCTCGTGCCGCTCCGCCACTGGACACCAAACCGCCCAACGACACACATACTTCACGCACGACGGACAGATAGATCTTCATTTTGAGCGAAGTGAATTTCTATAGTGCACGATATGGAGTCCGAACGGACGCCCGAAAAGCTATTTGTAACGTGTCCTAACTATCGTACGATACCGATGTGAACGAATACCGGCTCACCTATATCCCTGCACTTCCTGTGCAACCGCAGCGCGTCATCGGCGGCGCGCTGCAGGCGGGCGGCGAGCGGTCCACCGTACAGTTCACCCAACGCCGCGTGATCGCGCGACAACGCGCGCGTATTCTCCAGCGCCGCCTGCCAGCACGCGAACGCCCCGGTCAGCGGCCATTGCTCACGTCTACGACGAGTAATACGAATACTAAATATCACAAACCTCGCTCAGAATCCGACGCCAAATTTAGTAGCTAAAGTGTTCGATGGTAATCTGTTACATTGCTGACTAGCCCTAACGAAAAATGTTTATAAAATCCACTTTCACCCTGGCATTCTTGAGAAAAGGACAGGATAGACGAATTCTTCGGAGTACCAGGGACAAAATGGTTTTTTTTTTATACATTTTTTCATTAACAATATTTTCCAGTATAACATTGTGAATGCAAAATTGATCAAAAATAATAATCGCTGACTGGGTTAATGACGCGATGGATACTGACTTGTGTTTCTGGTCCTTGTGCCGTTGGTGTGCGGTGCGCGCCAGCTTGTCCAGCGCCCGCGAGTACTCGTGCTCGAGGTCGGCGCGCCGGCGACAGTACTCGTGCAGCTCCCCGGCCACACCGGCCGCCGCCTCCGCGCGCGCCTCCAACACGCGCGTCTGCTCTGACAACTGGATACGGATATCTGCAATTGTAGGTATACACAATTACAAGTGTTCCAGTGCAATACTACAGCGGAACATGACATGGCAAAAAAGTGCGCCTTGTTGAAAAAGATAGGAGTTTTAAATATTTCTCGGCATTATATGACCTGCGACCGTTGTTATAATTTGTAGGTTTATTTATTTGACATTTTTGAATTCACAATGCTATATTTCTCTGGAGGCAGATTTTTTAAAGAAAGAGTTAGTATATTTGTTTTCAATGCAGTTGCTCATAAAGCGCTATTTTTTTAATCCATTGTAAACACCGAAAGTGAGTCTTTAAGCACGTGTTAAATAAAAATGTACTGAAATCCTTTACTGCACACGTGCTTAAAAGTATTTTTTTAATTTTTCTTGGCCGAGCACCAAAGAAATTAAAAAAAAATGATGAAAAAATGTCAAACTTTAGAGGCAAAAGTATTTCAAGGAGCCTAGAACGAATATTTTCAAATAAAAATGTATGACACGAAAACATGTTCAAATATCACATTAATTTTTTTTTACCTTTAATATATACTTAGTTTTATTATATTATTATAGTATTTAACAATTGCTACAACGACTCAGAAATTACAGAAAAAATAAAAAATAAAAATAACAAACGAACCTCAAACAAATGGATTAATTTAGGCATTATTAAAGCATGCGAGTATAGGGATAAGCTTTTTTACCAATGGATAAGAGATACTGGTAATTTAATATTAAAGCAGAAATATACAGAAGCACGTAATTATTCAAATAAGCTAATAAGATCATCGAAAAATAAATATACTTATAATCTAATTAACAAATATAAAAATAATTTGAAACAACTCTGGTTTATTCTTAATAAAATAACAGGTAGGGTACGTAAAGCGGTAGATACTGTTTTGCTTGATGCGTTTGGAGATACAAATAAAAATAAATATACTATCGCTAATAACTTTGCTGATTCATTTCAGAGTAGTGTTAAACATGTAATTCCCCGATGTAGAAATCTCATTCTAGATAAAACGGAATATACATATCCTATGTGTGTAACTATGAATTTTCAAAAAGTGATGCCAAAAGATATTCTTAAAACTATAAATACAATGAATATTAATAAGGCACCTGGACTTGACAGGATTCGGGCGTTAGATATAAAATACATAAGCGAAGAAATTTCCCCTGTTATTGCAAAATTGGTAAACGTTTGTATATATACTAATAGGTATCCTGATGAACTAAAGACTGGAATAGTGAGACCCATATATAAGAAAGGTAGTCACAAAGATTATGATAACTATCGTCCTATTACCATATTGTCTACAATAGATAAAATAATAGAGAAGACTTTAGCCAAGCAAATATATAGATTTTATAATCATAACAATACGTTGAATGCAGAACAATTTGGCTTTCAGCAAAACAAAAGCACAACACAATTACTCTCTTCATTTACCGATTTCATTTACGAAAATCTTGATGATAAAAAACACATATTATTGATATTTATCGATTACAGCAAGGCGTTCGATACTTTGCGTCATGATATATTATTGGAGCGGCTTGATGAATGTGGTATTAGAGGGAAATTGCTAGAATGGTGTCGAGATTATCTTGAAAAACGTTCGTATCATGTGAAGGTTGGCAATGCGCTAAGCTACAAAGTAATGGTGAGCGAAGGAACAGCCCAGGGCTCTGTCTTGGGACCACTGCACTACATCACGTACGTAAATAATATGAACAATGTTATCAAACACTGCAAAATGTTTCAATTTGCTGATGATACATGTCTGCTAGTAGCACACCATAATATAAATATCGCTCAAAAATATTTACAAGACGATTTCACAAGGATTTTGCAGTGGTCGCATGACTCAGGTCTGGTGCTGAATATAAACAAAACTAAAGCGATGTATGTAAGCTCGAGTCAGAATAGATTAACGAACATAATATCTCTGTCGGCCCATACTCATGACTGCCTTCATAATATGAGGTACTCTAACTGTAATTGTCCTCATATCCAAATAGTAGAACATTTCAGATACCTAGGACTAGTAATTGATGATCGTATGAAATGGACGAACCATATCGAAACTGTTTGCGATAAACTAAGAGCTATCCTGGCAAAGCTTTGTCTCATTAGGAGTAAAGTGCCTTATAAAATGTTGTTGACACTTTATATCGCACTCGGAGAATCGATCGTATCTTATGGCCTAAGTAGCTACGGCCGTACTTATAGGACACACCTCGATAAAATATACGAACTTCAGTTGCGTATATTGAAAAGCATCGTTCCTTATAAAATCAAAGAAAAATTCTCAAATGACCCCCTGGGTCTCTTTCACTATTGCAATCTATTGCCTATACATGATAAAGTAAAATATTTGATAATAGTGGAAAATTATAATAAAGACGAACTCATAGTTGCTCGCACATACACAAAGGCCACTCGTCAAGCGTTAAGGCCAAAGTGTATAGTACCAAATTACAGAAATATGTATGGAAAATTTATGCTAAAGTATCAAGTACCCGCCCTTTTGAATCACATCCCAAATAATATAAAAATGACATTAAACTCAAAAAACATTAAAACTAAAATTAAACAATATTTCATTGAAAAACTGATAACGACTATATAACTTTTCAAATATAAATTAATAACTACTAATGCATGCGTAATTGTGTAGGGAAAGTAATGTTTCGGTTACCTTAACTTATTTATTTATAACAAATATAGCACGTACTTTCATGTATTTATATTTACATCTTATATGATGATAATAATAACCACGTTGTTTGCAGCTATGTCGTTGTCACTAATATGCTCCTATTGGTCTGGGATATATATTTGTCTGATTTTCTACAAATATTATGATATTGTGACAATTAAACATCCTATATATGCTTCATGTGTTTGAGTGCGAATCGGCGGTACATGGAAAAACTTTTGTAAGTTTATGTTGTACCGTTCTGATATATTAAATTATTTGTATTCGTTTTGTTGAATAAAAATAAATAAAAAATAAAAAAATAAATTTCTATTGAATTATACATTATTAACCTACGTATTTGTTTTATTTCCTTGCAAAAAGCAATGAAAAATGTTGTAAGAAACTTCAGCGTAAAAGGTTTTTCGAGTATGACACGAAAACATGTCCAAATATCACGTTTAATTTTAACAAATAATTTTTACTTTTATTACATACTTACTTATTAACCTATATATTTGTTTTATTTCCTCGCAAAAAGCATTGAAAAATGTTGTAAGAAATTTGAGCATAAAAGGTTTTTCGAATTCGTGCCAATGAACCAATTTGACCCTTATTCGTAAAACCTTACTGTCCGCACTTATATCTTAAATAACTATTTTATGGAAAGACAAACTGTCTGATTATGAAATTCATTAAAGTTGTACTGTAAAAAACTGTAAAGATACCATTTCAATAGGAAAAATCCTAATTAATCGTAATGAAAATTGAAAAGACAACTAAAACAATACAGATATTTATGGCCAGTGTGAAAGGGAATACTAGAAGAGGAAGACCACAGATAACCTCCAATAGATGTCTTAGCATGAAGAAATTATGATTTTTGAGTTGTGCCACTGTACTATTCAGTGAGCGATCTCATCTGTTTAATTGTGTTAATTCAATGTAAATTGTATGACTGTTTGTTTACCTCTTAAAGTAAATAAAAAAAATACCATAGCAACCATTGTTTACAATCTGATTTGTCGTTGTAATAAATTTACCTAATATTATTTTCAAAATATTTTATTGTACAGCAATGAAAATTTGTATTTGAGTAAATATTACATTTTTTAAATTTAAATGTATAAATCGTAAATTCTTTTTTGCCTAGAAAATGTACCTAGACTAACTTTTCAGCCAGTTGATGGCGACTATATTCTAAATCGCCTTATTATTTTGATCAAAGAACTTTGCGTAGGCTTTAAATCAAAAACATTTAAATGTTGCTCCAATTTTAGATTAAAGAATTTGCAATTATTTGTCTTTTTCGTTTCATCAGTAATTAATTTATTGAGGATAAGTATTGCTATGTCTTAAGCTAAGATTTTTAAATTGATAATTATTTACAAATCCTATTTTATTACACCTTAGAATTGACTAATTCATGATGCGACCAGCCATTTGGAAAAATCTTGCTGCCCACATCATGATGTGGCCTAGCCAGAGCAATGAATAATTTTCGTTTAACGACGGCTGATAGTATGACTTCTCCATGATGTGGCCAAAAGTAAGTGATCATATCGAAAAATAGTTACGCAAGTCTCAGTATGAGGCGCTAATGTTGCATTGTTTTTGTGATACATTATTTATTTTAATTTTTAGGTTATACAACAAAATAAAGAAAGTAGGAAGACTAAGCAACAAAAAACAATTACTTGATAAGTAAGTTTAGTGAGATAAATGTAGGTGTGCAGTGCGAAGGTGCTGCAGCAAAGGCTATTTGTATAGTTTTATCAATATGTCGTAGGTTATGATAAAGACAGGGTTGTGATCTAGCTGCAGATAAAAGTTTTTGAGATATGAACTAAACATAAGTTCCTATATGATTCATTACTTTAGGTCACGTGATAAGTTAGAAATTGAGGACAATCACGTAGCGTAGCGATCATATTAAATTTCGAGGTTGTTTTTTTAGACCACAAAATTATAACTAACGAATTAACAAACTCTTTCAGCAAATAATTAGATTTCTAGAATTTTCGCGGCGTGATCTCTAGTCAGCTCTTCGGGATACCATCCGTTAATGTTCATATCACCATCATAAATCTAAAATAAAAGAAGAGATATCCTAATTTACTGATAGACAACACACAGCCTAAAACGTCGGTCATAGAGATTTGGAATTTGGAGGATACATTCGTCTGATTGCATAGGTACTTAGAGCGAATTCTTGGAAATTATACCTTGAAGCGAGTTAAAAGGGGTAAAACGCTACTATGAGACTTGTTTTTGGATTGATGAAAATGAGTATTTGAGTAGTTTAA